GCCGAGCTACATTCCCGGTCGACCGGAGGCGCTTCCGGAGGGCGTCTTTTGGCCGGAGAAGGATCAGATCGTGGACTCGCTCGCATCCATTGCGAACCTGCGTTGGCCGTAAGTTGAAATGTCTTCCAATTGCATCATGGCCTTTCAACTCATTCGTTATAGGGCGTTTATTTCACCAACCCTCCACCCTGATGACCCGAATACCCTCCCAATATCGGTCAAGTCGATTTCTCCAATTACTGGGCCTGCTCACCCTTCGATCGCCCATCTGTCCTGCGCGTTGCTTCATCCAAGTGTGCCCAGCTGCAGCACCGCCTTCGTGCACCATATCCTCCTCTCGGTGCCCCCGTTGGCCCGGTTCCTTACGGCTGTCAGCCTTGCGCTGACCATCCCCAAGCTGAAGACTGTCTTGGCGCAGCCTATGACCTCTATTAATAGCTTGTCTAAGAGAATCATCACCATGACGGCCGTTCTCTCGGCTGCCGTTGGTTCAGCCTGGGGCAGCGTCTGTCTTCTGAACAATACCCTGCCCCGCTCGACACTGCCGACCAAGCGCTTCTTCCTCAGCGGTGCTCTAGGTGGTCTTCCATTCGCGCTACTAGCTAACAGTCGTAGCGTTTTTATGTACTTTTTCCGCGCTTCGGTGGACTCGGCTTGGAAGACTGGCGTCAAGCGCGGACTGTGGAAGGGTGGCCGGGCCGTTGAGCTGTGGCTGTTCGTGCTGTCGTGGGCTTTGATGGGTTCAATTCTCGAGGCTCATCCATCGGCAGTCCAGGGCAGTGGCCTCCGAAAGGGACTGGCATGGTTGCGGGGAGATGGATTTGTCGACCTTGAAGAGGTTGAGAAGCGCAAGGCACGGCGGGCGTTGAAGAAGAAGGGGGAGACCAAGGATGAATAACGACAACTTTTTAGTATTTGTTTATTGTGTGGTTTTTGTGTTTCTTTGCTCCTCCTTATTTTTGTTCTTGTCTTCCACTTTACGAGTACATAATCTCGGCGGTGCTTCGTCGCATGGCTGGAACTCACTTTCCGACTCGACTCCACGTTTCCGGGGAACCACTCGGACTCCATTCTCCGCATCCGACGATCATCGCCCTCCGAGTCCCGAACATTTATAGTCGGTGTAGACAGCTTGGTTCTTTGTTTGAAATCCAAAGTACGCGGATCTTACTCTTTCGTTGTTTTGCTTTAGGTCTGGAAACGATCTATTCACTTTCTTTCTACCGCACTTGTCTCCTCAGTCTATATAGATCCTGCACAATGTCCGCCCGCAGAATGAAGATCGGCTGTGCTGGTCTTGGTCGCATGGGCAAACGCCATGCCCTGAACTTCCTCGAGCGCACTCCTCGAGCAGAACTGGTCGCTGCCAGCTCGCCTGACCCTGCAGAGCTCGAATGGGCCAAAACACACCTAGAACCCTTTGGTGTGCGGCTGTACCAGAACTACGACGATATGCTGAAACAGGAAGGCCTCGAGGCGGTCGTGGTTGCATCTGCGACCGCGGTGCATGCCGAACAGGCGATTAAAGCTATCAATGCCGACAAGCACGTTCTTTGCGAGAAGCCGCTGTCAACTAGCGCAGAGGTGGTGAGTTTGCATAATTAGTCCTTTATTCTATACTTCCCTCAAGCCAGATAGGATCGCAATGATCGCTCACACCCTGTCACCTGATATAGTCCCAATCCGTCGTCGACGCAGCTTCCAAGAAGCCCCATCTCAAGGTGATGTGTGGTTTCTCTCGCCGTTTCGACAAGTCCTACCGTGATGCCTATAACAAAATGAGCGCCGGCGCGATCGGTACCCCCTCTGTGCTACGCAGCCAAACCTGCGATAAGCTCGACCCCTCCGGCTTCTTCGTCGCCTACGCCGAGTTCTCCGGTGGCATCTTTGTGGACTGCTCCATCCACGACATCGACCTGGCACTGTGGTTCTTCGGCGCCAGCAGCAAGATCAAGTCCGTGTCAGCCGTGGGCATTACCGCCGTCGAGCCCGATCTCCGAAAGCACAACGACCGCGATAACGCAGTCGGTCTAGTCGAATTCTACGATGGCCGAATCGCGTACTTTTACGCCTCGCGCATGATGGCTGCCGGCCAGGAGGATACCACTGAGATTATCGGGACCAAGGGCAAAGTCACGGTGAACACGCAGCCGGCCATGAACCATGTGAATTTGTTTGATGATACGGGTATTCGCCGTGAGATTCCTCAGACCTATTATGATCGGTTCGAGTATGCTTTTGTTACGGAGGCAAATGAGTTTACTGCTTCGGTGTTGGATGGGACGCCGTTGCCGTTGGATTTGACGGCTGCTGTACAGGCTGTGCGGATTGGGGCTGCGTTGCAGGAGTCGTTGATTTCTGGGAAGAAGATCTTCTTTGATGAGCAGGGAAATCGGACGGAGGTTGCGAGATTGTAAAGTTGGGATCTTTTAGGGCAGGTCTTTTGAGATGGATGGTGTGTCGGTGTATAGTTTGGGTAAATGAAAAGGGGGACTCTCTCTCCCATGCGATAAATGATATCAAGACTCCCAGAGACGATGATGAGCAACGTGGTGCCCAGGGTATATTTTTGCAAAAAAAAAGAACGGGTAAAAAGTAATTATACAAGTGTGAAAGTGTGAAGTCAAGAAGGTCGTTCATGATGGGCTTTAAAAACACAAAAGTCATGTGTTTTAAGAAATGATTCCCTCGAAGACCCTCGCCATTCACTCGGCGGAGGCCGTTCCACATCAGCAACGGCTTCCAAATGATTCCCACTCTGAATGGAACCGCTATGCACATCGGCGCTGCGTAATTGTGCAATATTCACCGCCTCAATAGACGAGGGCGTAGTCCGAATCACCGCCAGCAAGTTGTTCAGTACCGTGAATTCCAATAGTAGCTTAATGCTATACACGACGGGTTTGTAAGTCGTTTGGACGTCGAAGTGATTTGTATACTCGGTAGTAAGGAGAGACGCATCCAGGATTACGGCGATAACGTTCACGACGACGACGTTGATAATCACTCTCCTCCCGCGGGGACCCTTGAGGGCTAGAACCGGTCGCAAGGAGGTAGTCGTCTCCCAGACATAAAGAGCACTGATAATGGTTTCTTGTATGGCGAAACCGGCCAATTGGATACGCTCGTAGATATTGAACGGCGCCACGAAACTCGTCACCCCATTATTGGCCCCGAGAAAAAGGATCGTCGTGGGAATATGCAGCACGCAGAAATTGAACACGATCATGTAGAGTATCCAGCGCGGATAATGTTCGTGCGTAGTCACGAGGTGTAGTCGTGAATATAGCACCACTGATTGACCGGTGACCATTGCGTACCAGCCCAGACAGATGGGGAAGCACATGGCGAAGCTGGGCGCGAGGGCAAAGTAGCGAAGAAAAGAGGATATGGCGTGTAGGAGGATTCCTAGCGTGGCGATGACCATGCTCCAGAAGTAGAGGCCGCTGTATCGGTGGAAGGTGGATAGGATGGAGAAGGAGATTTCGATGACGTTCCAGCAGGCTAGTGTGAAGAAGCCGGCCATGACCATGGCTAGGGCCCGTGAGACGTCGACGGGCCCGGTTTCGCCGGCCATATTGGGTGATCGAACGGTGGGCAGCGACTGGCGCGGTGGGTTTTCGTGGAGCGAAGTGTTGTGAAGGGCCGGGTCAGTTGATCGGGGGAGTATGGTTGACTGCGTGAGCCGTCAACGAAGGAGTAAATCGCTCATTGCGATTGAGGCAGCATCGACATCGTCACCGGGTTGAAGTTGGACGGCGAATTTAACGAACAGCCGCCCTATAGTCTCGATGCTCCGTACATCAATACAAATGGTACCCGGCACAGTGAAAAGCAAGGGAATGGAAATGAACGAGACACGAGACAGTAGAAGGGGAGGAGGGAAAAGAGCGGAGGGCCAGTTACTGTATATGGTTCGAGTTAGAGTTTAGCACTGATCCCTCTTGGCACCGAGTTAGAGTTTACCTCTTGATGAACCAGTCAACCCGCGGGCAAAAACTTGCCTGATTTCTCCGGAGGGTTCCTGCAATCATGGCATTAGTGTGGGCATGGGTCTGGATCACCGCGTAACAAAGTTCACGCCGAGCCTGGATGCGCCTGGGGTCCGGTCGTTGGCCACGGAAATATTGAATAACGAATACTCTAACCCTTGACATCACCCACGAACGGGTCATCCTTTGACAACCGAACGGTCGGGGTGAGATTAACCCGAAAGGGAGAACAAATCTGCATTGGGCGTTACTGTACGGAGGACTCCGCATTACTACCTACTCATGCCAAACGTCACCGGAATAGGCGTTCTAGCTTTTTACTTTAGAACTTTATGGTGGCCTGTGGCGCCCACTCCCCTTTTTTGAAACTCGTAACATGGATCGCTCCAAGTTCTAGAGCGTTGAGTGGTCTGGATGAGTATGATGTGGAAAAAGGCGGAGAACGAAAGGTGTGGAGATGCGGTCAAGGCCTGGCCATCAGTGCTGTAAAGGAGAATCATATTCGGAGTCGGTACTCCGTACAGTAGCGATCCCTGGAACCGAGCTGTCGGGCTCGAGTGGCGCATAAAATCACTCAATGGACTCCGTAATCGCTCAGGGGCTGCGCTGGTTGAGGTGACGGTGTCGGTTGGCAGACAGATCAGCGGGGGCGACTAACTGACTCGGGTAGGTAGCTGTTGACTGAGTCATTATCTGACAAGAGTAAGGGATTTGCAAAGGATTTTCACCCTAAGATATGCATCATGCCTAATTACTTATTTTTAGGTACGATGGGCAGCAAACAATTCAATAACGGAGAAGTTTGTGTAAGGTGCCTAGTCCAGTCTTTCTCCTGGAAGGCGAGAGATCCACTTTCATTCAAGTCGTCAAAATATATAGAAAATCGCTTGCATAACAGAAAAGGAAAAGGGGGGAAACATGGGAATCTCCGACAACGGGGGATGTAGAACGATAATATATCTAGAAAATGTAAAGTGCAAAAAAATATTATATCTTTTTGAGCCGTGTTTACCAACGGACAACCTTGTTGGGGAAATACTCATCAATGAGCTCCATGTAGTAAGGCTTCAGTTCCTCGGCGCTGGGGATACCATCGCTCTTACTGTAAAGATCGTACGGGTTGAACGCCTTGACAGCGCGGAGCATCGCCTTGTCATGCTCATCCATCAGCTCGTGGTAAGCGCCGGCGTTGTGCCAGGGGTAGAAGGAGTGGTAGCGGATCATAGCGAGAGCCTCGTCGGGCAGGGTGGACTGCTCCTTGGCAATGTGGTAGAGGTACTCGTCATGGCCCCAGGAGAGCATGACCTTGTCCAGACCGCAACCGGGGCTGTAGATACCGAACTTGGTGTCGTAGACGGGGTGGCCAAAGTCCTCATTGTCCTTGAACGAGTCACGTCCGTAGATGATACGCTCGTCGAACGCACAGCCAACGGGGAAAGTGTCGCCGACGACATCCCACTGGCCCTGGGCGTCAAAGAAGAAGAGAAGCTTGCCCAGGTCGTGGATCAGACCGGTCAGTTGCATCCAGCGGGGCTTGCCGTCGCGACGAATCGCCTCGGCGGACTGCAGGAGGTGCTCGATCTGGGAGAGGCTGGTGTCCGGGTCGGACTCGTCGATGAGGGTGTTGAGCTTCTCCATGGCCTCCCAGATGGTCATCTCGGCGCGGGTCTTGCTGTGGAAGTCATGACGGGCCTTGAGGTTGTAGGCGACGCTCTGCTTGGTGTGTTGCTCCTTGTAGAAGTTCTTGACGCGGTCGCAGGCATCCTCATACTGGCGGAAAGCGGTCTTGTCCTTGCCCTTGTCGAACTCGGATTCCTCGTACAGATCCTTCTCCTTTTGTGCCTTCATATTGGTCTTGAGGACGTTGACCTCGTCGATGGCATCGGAGAGTTCCTCGAGGGCCTGGCCATCCCGATTCTTGTTGAAGGTGGGGGCAGGAGAGTCGGCGATGGCGACGGGTGCCATTTTGTTGGTTATGTAGGACGATGGGGGTATGTGTTTGGGTATGGAATGACTTGCAAGTATTTCACTGTCAATGGAGAACTTGCAGGATATTCACTGAATTGTCTTCACTAGGACAATAGAATGGAAGAATAACATCCTGGCTCCCCGGAGGAGATCCAGATCCATATATAGGGAGTGGTCTCCACGATCAACGTGGGCTCAAAACGAATCGCATCTATGTTTCCGACGTCCAGTACGTTGTGGAAGGTACCGCCCTGCTCGCTTCTGGCAATAGTCCCCGGGTGATCCATGATTTGCAGGCAGAGTTTGTGCGAACAAGCATCGTTGGAGTCACGATCACGGATTCCAGAATCCGTGCTTGGACTAATTCGGGCTGCCCTGTGGCTTCTGGACTGTGCCCCCACCCCACACGAGTATGGACGCGAGTTATGATAGGACAAAGACTGGACGGCGTGGGGATGTTGATGTCAGCCGGGACCAAGTAGGGTCACGTGGGCCCGGCAGGATTCTGGTTTCCGGGGGGTCGCTGACTTATGCCCGAATGGTCTTTGGGCTATTGTCGCCGTCGGTTACCCAGATGGGTCTTCGCTTGGATTCGAAGAATGAGATCATCGGATGAATTTGGATCAGGACCCGGTCGGTTGATCTCCGTCTCTGCACCATTGCCGATGCGGGGCATCTCCATCATTTCCGTTATCCTAGGTCTTTTCACGAGGAGAGAGGATGGTTGAACACCATCGTGATCGATCCATCAGTCCCTAGATAGTCAGATAATTGAGGACAATGGGCGATATCAGTTACTTGTAGTACATTGTCCAACGTGGAAGATGATTGATGGAAGAACAAAAGAACGTGACCGGGGCCGAGTCAGTGGCGGGGCAAAAAGAAGAGCCCCCCCCGCGTGGGGGATAAACACTTCGGGGTATCTTTACATCGAGCATTTCCCCCCCCCCCTCCTTTCAGATTCTTTTTTTTTACTTCTCTTCTGCCTCAATTCCTTTCTTTCTCTCTCTTTAACCCCCATAAACACATTTACTACAATCACAATGGCTGCAGCAGACGTCCGCTTCAAGTTGAACACCGGTGCCGAGATACCTGCCCTAGGCCTGGGTACCTGGCAGTCCGCGCCGGGCGAGGTTGCTCGTGCCGTGAGCCACGCTATTAAGGTGGGCTACCGCCACATTGACGGTGCTCTGTGCTATGGCAATGAGCACGAGGTCGGCCAGGGTATCAAGGAGGCCATTGATGCGGGTATCGTCAAGCGCGAGGATCTGTTCGTCACTACCAAGCTGTGGTGCTCGTACCACGCTCGCGTCGAAGAGGGTCTCGAGGCTTCCCTGAAGAACTTGGGTCTGGACTACGTTGATTTGTACCTGATGCACTGGCCTCTGGCTATGAACCCTAACGGTAATTCTCCCTACGCGATCTCCTTTCTCTCAGAAGAATTGGACATCTCGAGAGAGCAAAAAAAAAAAAAAAAAAAAAAGCCCGGAAAAATGATACTAATACCTTCACACAGGAAACCACCCCATCTTCCCCAAGCTGCCGGACGGCTCGCGGGACATTGTCCACGACCACAGCCACGTCACCACCTGGAAGAGCATGGAGAAGCTCGTCGGCACCGGCAAGGTCCGCGCCATCGGTGTCTCCAACTACAGCGTCCAGTACCTGGAGGAGCTCCTGCCCCAGGCCACCGTCACCCCGGCCGTCAATCAGATCGAGAACCACCCCTCGCTGCCCCAGCAGGAGATTGTCGATTTCTGCAACCAGAAGGGTATCCACATTACCGCTTACAGCCCCCTGGGTAGCACGGGTAGCCCCTTGTTCACGGCGAAGCCTATCGTCGAGGTTGCTGAGAAGCGTGGTGTCTCTCCGGCTACCGTTTTGCTTAGCTGGCACAGTATGTCTACCCTTACCTCCTTGATTCACCCTCCAATGTGGAAATATTGAAAAGAAACTCGCCTTCTAACTGATCTTTCTTGCTTCTGCTTAGTCGCCCGTGGCTCCTCCGTCCTGGCCAAGTCTGTCACACCCGCCCGTATCGAGGCCAACCGCAAGGACCTGATCCACCTGGACGCCGAGGACATTGCCACTATTAAGAAGTACTCCGATGAGCTGGCTGCTACCAAGTCCTTCCAGCGCTTTGTCTTCCCTCCCTTCGGCAAGAGCTTTGGCTTCCCCGACAAGTCGTGACTTGCCGCATCTAGACTATGATCCTCCGTTTTTGAGTACATGTATAGAAAGTGTGATACCATGGACAGATAGAAAGGCATTTTTTGGGTGACAGATTTGTGATTTACGATACCAATGGAAAAGAAAGAAACAATTTAAATTTTGGAACTGAAATTTCATTTATTCATGGCCAAGGTCCTTATCGTACACTGTGTGTGAACCTGGCTGGAGCTATCCTCGTATTCTCATGTTCATCATTAATGTGGCACTGTGAATGGTATTACTCACTGTGCATCTCCCCACTCCTCGGATGCTCCTCTTTCTTCTCATTCTCAATATTCATACAAAGCTTGGGGTATGCCATAGAGATTCAGGTGGCATTGCGCGCGCGGGAAGGGCCGGAGCCATCGGCAGGCGCACGGCGACGGGGTCTCAGGAGCGCCTTGTTTGGAAAATCATCTCCAACGAAGACCCGGTCGACCGGTGCACGGAGCGCATCCGCGTTTTGATCATTGGTGTTTTCGCTTGGCTCCATCGTGACGAATTCCCGGTACTTCAATTCCTCATAGGCCTCGGGAGCGACCTTGCTTGGATCAACGCGAAGAGAGACACGCAGCGCATTCAGGCGACGTGCCTCGCGCTCCTCCACGACCTCCTTGATCAGCTCGGCGCGTAGGTTACCGCGAGCTTTCATAGTATCAAGAGCAGCCATGAAGACCGGGTATGGGAGGGTGATCAACATGGCGGAAGGAACGAGGATGGCTTGGTCGGTGGGACGCAGGTCGGCGAAGGATGGGAAACTTCCAAATCGGATCTCTTCCAGGCGTGGGTTAGATAGGAGGGAGCCTGGGAGGGTGTGTAGAGCAGGCGGAATTCGACTCGGGGTGTAGTGAGCCTGGGCGCGTCGGTACAGTTCGAATTCCAGCGTGACTGCTGCGGTGATGAATTGCAGGGCAGCATTCTGAGCTCGTTGTGCCTGCACATAGTGGAAGTCGTGGAAATGATCGAGTCCAGCGACGGGAGTACCAATGTCATGGGCAATGGAGAGAGACGACGAGCGCGAGTTGGCGGGGCTGATTGGAGAGAAAGGCACATCGGGGCAGGTCACCATGTAACTGACGGGGGTCATGCCAAAGCTGAGGATAAACTCCGCAGTCTCCCAGGAAATGTGATCGATGGCCAAGTCAATACCTCGCTCGGTGATCTCGCGACGTGCGAGGAAGGCACCGGCGGCAGCGTAGCAAAGAGCAAAATCAACCAGGGCACGCTCAATGGAAAAAGAGAAGGTGCCTGTACCGTTGTCGTCGGGAAGGCCCAGTCCTTGGAGAGCGAACTTGCGAAGGGTCTCCTTGGTGACGAGGGGAACTCCGTACAGGACCTGAAGGGCCATGGTGAAGGCGTATGAACAAGAGAATGAGATTCCAGTGAAAGCGCGAATATGGTCGACACCCCCATCACGGTGTCTCTTGGCCGCCATCACGTCGTGCAAGAAGGGGCTCCCAGCAATGATCGCCTTGTGGAGATTATAAACGATGAGAGGATGGGACAATTCGGGACTCAGCAGGAGCTGAACGTCGGCAAACTCAAGATTGCAAAACAGCGTCTTGACATGCTCAGTCTGGAAAGCCAGAGGGCCAATGGCTTCTGGCTGGGGGGACTGTTGACGGGTGTCGGTAGGCAAATTCTGGCAACCCTGATTGCGATTCTCCGGGGTGTCCTCAGCCGAAATTGACGCACCTTTCTCCTCGGGGTCGTTGCTGGCGGCGGTCGATGGCTTGCGGCTAGTATCCCGCGAAGCCTCATTCGACTCACTGGAAGCCAGAACGGAGGAGCTCGGGTTCTTTGACTTGGCGTCAAAGTACAGGCTGGGGGACTTCAAGTCCTCCGGAGTCAAGAACTGGCCGGGGTGAGCCTGGCGTAAACTCATATTCTGCGAGTTGTTGGCCGGGGTTGTCTCCTGAATGGTGCAAGCATCCAGGGTGGTGTCGGTGTCTGCCGTGGATGAGACGACAGCGGGCTCGTTTGGTGCCTGGTTAGAGGCAGACGAAGCCCGGGACGACTGTCGATCGACGACAGACAGCAAATCCGACTCAACGATGGGCTCACTGACAGGCTCACCCAAGCTCGAGGACTTGGGACTCGACATCTTCGACATACGGTACGCTTCGAATAGCGAAGCAACCGCTGGCGCAAGCTCCTGGTCGGCGGCAGGCGGGGGCGGGGCGGCGACAAGCAAATCGGTATTGCGTGGGGAATTGATATCCGACGCATACCAGCAGTCAGCTGGGCCATGGAGGCAGCAGCAGCTGCAACGGTGATTGCCATTGTGGTGGCAGCAGGCTGGGCAGAACCCACACATCGGTCCATCTCCAGAAGGACCCGCAACGACGCCAGACCAGGGCTGTTCATACCCAATCTGGTGACCACCGTCGTGCGAGTGCTGAGCTGATACCGACCGACCGTGCATTGGCCACTGAACCCAGCTGTTCTCACTCTGGTCTACAGAGTGAGGGGACACATCGCCAACACGGGGGGCGGCAGAGAGGGAGGCAGCTCTCTCCTCCTCCTCCTGGGCAGGCGCAGCCGACGCCGTGAGCTGGGCATCCAAAGACTCCCAAGAGATGTTGTCACCGGCCTTCTCGGCCTGAATCTTCCCCTTCTTCTTCTTCGCCTTCTGCTTCTTCTTGGGCGGGGCCTCGGGGTTAGCCGGCGCCGAAGGAACAACTGGCATGGCCTCAGTGGGTAGAGGCAAGCGGGAAGGCGGAGGGGAGGGCGAATGCGCGACGTCGATGTCCGACCCGATGATGGTGTCGGCGATGCTGTTTGGCGAAGCATCGCCAGGGAAGCCGCTGGCGGGCTCGGGATGGTTGGAGGTGCGCCGAGCCATCTTCTGCAGCTGTCTCTCGCGGCGCTTCTTGCGTCCTGCCTTGTTCTTGTAGAGGCGGACACGAACCCTTTTGTTGGGTTCGGCTGGAGCTTCGACAACGTCGGAAACACCGACGTCGAAGGAGGAAGGCGTAGGAGAGGCACAGCCTGTAGTGAAGGTGGTTAGCTGGTGGCACATTTGAGAGTAATAATATTATGACATCAACTTACTGTGCTTGGAGGGGTCGGCAACTGCTTCAGCTGAATCCTTGATCATCTCTTGAAGTGACTCGTTGACAACAGACTCGAGAGATTCGTCAAGAGGCCAATGGGCGGGCTCTTTGATCATCCAGTCGATAGCTTCCTGAGTCTCAGAGTCGACTTGATCTTCGAAAAGCAAGTTTAGCTCTCGGTCGAAGCAAGATCCAGCAGACTCCAATTCCCTAACTACTGACTCTGTAGGTCCCTCGTGGAAACGATCCGCACCCAGAGTGTTGGTGATTTGATCCACAGTTTGCTGGGTAAAATCATACAGCTTCTCAGAAAGATCTGGGTGAAGCAGGTACGGCGGAGGTGGACTGTCAGGAGGCTGAGTGGAGTGAGGAGCGGGTTGGCTCTGGGGGACGGTTTGATCGAGATGATGAGAATGGGGATGGGGCTGGTAGTCTTGAGCTTGTGGCTGTTGTTGACCTTGAAGAGAGCCTTGATATTGAGGAGCGTCTGGGAGATCCTGATAGGCGTATTGATCGTATTGGTGAGGGTAAATGTGGGTGTCTGGTGCAGAGTGCCAGGTAGAACGAGGGAGACGAGGAGGGGAAACAGATGGTGCAGGGCGAGGGGGCGAAGAGAAAGAAGAAGAAGAAGAAGAAGAAGAAGCAGATTCAGAGTCGTATTCAGGCGGTAGAGCAGGAAGGTGAACCAAACCCCAAGCATCTCTCCAGTCCTGAGGCAGCCCGGTGGTCCAGTGCGGTCCATTGTTGATAAACGCATCTCCCTGTGAGGGAGTGATACGTGATGGTGCTGGAGCCATCACGAATCGAGAGTTCGAGACCGAACTGACGCAGTTTCAAATAAAAAATTTGTGGACTCAAGGCTGGGATGTGATTCTGTAGAAAAGAGAGGGCTGTAGATGCGTGAGTGCGTGGGAGGAAGAGGAGGAAAAAGAGAGTGCGTGGAAGGATGAGAGACTGAGGAAGAGCCAGAAAATATGAATTTAGATACCCTTCCCAGGTCTCTAGACAACCGCCTTCTTCGGCCTAGCTAATGCGGGTCTCTGAGGCAAACACAAACCGGAGTAGTATAAGAGAAGATTAGGCAACGAGATAGCTAGGGACAAAATTGAGCGAATATCCGTAAAATCAAAACGACAACATAGCTTTCCCAGGCAACGAGCGCCGAGCAAGACTGATGTACTAACCATTTATAAAAGATCAATTTAATATGTTAGTACTCTACAAGCATGAACAATGACTTGGAATGATTATTTTATTTTGACATAAGGAAGTTTCATGCAAATTTTCCCATCAATGCTGCGAAACTACGTGATCTTTTCTATACTTGATATTGGGTTTTCAGGGTTTATCATTACACGTGACCACCACGTGGGAACCTTATTTTGACGCCTTTTGTTTTCAGGCGGGAAATTTTATCCGCACGCACGTCTCGACAAGCACTCGTATTGCCAAGGGATTTATTGTTTGCGGACACGAGAAAATGATAGTTGAATGCAGAAATGCTTCAAGTAATTGGTATTAATTTTTCGCACCATTGTACAGCTATACTAGTTGCTCCCCCGCTCGAGAAAAATGTGATCAAACGAACAAAAGTCGAAGACAAGACGAAATGGCATAGTGTATAATGACAGGTAGATAGTAGACGCTCGGGAAAATGCATCAGGTGGTATATAGTCATGAACAGTTCAAATGAAAAGGAAAATAAACAAATATCCAGAAAAAGTGGAATTCAGCTCACGGATGGACGATGGAAAGAACGAGATGGATGGAATATGCGGCAATGTACCGAGACAAAGACGCATGATAGTGGAAACCACAAACGAGAGAACGGGAGTTAAAGGCCGGCTGGTTTGCTAGAACATGCCACCATCCACGGGGATTGCGGGGGGTGGGTATTGAGGAACAGCAGGGGCTGGGCTAGCCATGGCTTCCAGACGGGCTCTTCCATGAAGGTTGCCACCTTCGCTGGAGGTCTTGCGCAGACGGTTGCGGGAGCGTGGGCGCTTCTCATCATCAGGGAAGTAGCTCTGCTCATCAGAAATGCTGGGGGCTGGAGAAGATATCCGGGACTCAGGTTTATCGGATTTGAAGGCACTGAGAATGGTCTGGGTGCCACGGCGACGGCGGGGATTCATGGGTGGGAGAGGAGGAGTAGCCCCCTGCTGTGAAGAAATGGACGCCATCGAGTTGCCTGTAGGGAGACCGACGAGGGGTACATTGGATGTGGAGGACACCAAGGTTGGCTCGGAGATGAGCTTCTTGTTGACACTGCGCTTTTGGAGCAAGTTACTACCGGGAGCACGTTGGGGTAGGGCATGTGCGCTATTGGCCACCGAAGACATAGTCGCGGTCGGAGACTGGTCCTCATTCAGCGGAGGGGTGGCGTTGGCAGAGTATGCAGGAGCAGCGGGAGGGGCCCGAGGTGTAGCGCCGATGATAGAGGGAGGGTGCGACTGCTGGTACGCAAACGGTCGCTCGTACTGAAAGTTTGGAGTCCCTGAACGACTGGCGCTGCGGTATCGGCCAGACGCGGCAGAAGAAGAACGATCGTACATGAGAGGCTCAACCTCCATTGAGGGGCGGGTTGAGCTAGAGACTGAAGGTGACTCGAAGTTTGGAGGAATCACGAAATTGTCGTGAGCAATGACGGCACCCTCATTCACAGTCTCGAGATCATCGCGCTCACGGTAGCGAGATCGGCTCTTGGACCGACCAGAGGCGTCCGAGCCGGAGCGAGATCGGAAGGCATTATGCGGGGAGGGACCCCGGCTGCGGCTAGATTCGCGAGAATCCTCGTTGCTGTTGCGACCGATGGTGGGCATACGCGACCGGATTGACCGTTCTGATCCAACAATCGGAGAGCTGGAGTTGGAGTGACGACCAAGGTTGAAAGAGGGGCGTTCCTCCTCGCGCCAAGAATCCTCTGATACAAGGGCGGGAGTAGAGCCGCTGTTATATCCATACATCTTGCTTTTGGCGTCCTGCTGAGGGGTACCTTGCTTGCCGGACTTGTGCTTCAGGAGGGAGAAAGCATTGCCCGCCTTGAACCCAGCAAGATCAGGAGTCTGTCGGCCGGGGGTCGGGCTGCTAGAACGGCTTTCACTCTCAGCGACGCTGCGAAGCTTCTCTTGGACCTTGCGACGCCGCTCGGCAAGTTCCATAGCAAACTCTTCGCGCTCCTTTTGGGTCTCAGTGCTTCCGTCCCGACGGTGGTGATAGACCAGCTCATCCTTCCAATTCGTGGAGTGTGGGGCTGCGACGCCGTGTTCAGGCGGTGCACAAGCATCAGAGGAGCCTCCACTTGAACGATTCACGGTGATTTCGGAGGATTGATGGGACGCAGCCTTTGGGCTTGAGGGCTCAATTTTCATGTCGAGAGTCGAAAGCGTCTCGTCGGGGGTAGTCGAGGTAGTAGTTACCTCAGAGATAGGCTCGTCGGTAGCAAGGTCGTTTGCATTGGGATCCCGAGGTGGTAGGCCTGGGGATGGTGGGGGGTAGATGGAGGACTGGTTGCTCACTTGGCGCAAGTGAGATTGGATGAAGCCATTCAGGCCAAATGTTGGCGAATCCGGCCGCTCAGGAGTGTTGCCATCTCTATGCTGAGCTGAGAAATCGTTCTCCAGGCTGTCGTCTTCCTCGATAGGCTTGAGGTCGCCTAGATCCGAATATCTGACCTCTGGTAGGGTTTCCAGATGCTCGCTCGTGGGAGTGTGAGGCTTGGAGGCGGTGCTGGCATGTTGCAGCGGGTGGCCAAATTCGGCGGCCATAGAGGTTACGGAAGAGACTTCGTACGAGCGGCGATTATCGTTCTCGTCTCCAGAATCACTGGCAGTCGAGTTGGCATAGAAGGTTGTCATGCCTGGGCGACCCGGTGAGGCCTCCACGCTAGATGCTCGTGAGTGATCAATGTTGTGGTGGGCGTCGCTGCTGTAATGAGAAGAAGCAGAACCGGCTCTCGAACGAAAGCTAGACTTGGAAAGGCCCCGCGAGCGGCCAGCTGGCTCCTGTGGCGCAACACGGCGTGGGGGAGACGGGCGTCGTGGCGGAGTGCTGCGTCCCTGATGCATCTGCAATTGGCGGTGCATGAACTGCTGCTCATCGAAGCCGGTGGCAGGCCGGTTGAAGAGACCCATGGCAGTGGCTTTTCCATGATCTTCAGGGTTAAGTGCCGCTGCCAGCAAGTTGTTACCATCCTCATTCTCGCTGGTTGGCGGGCTCAGGGGAGGTGCGACCCCAAAGCTAGCCGCAGTGGGCGAAATACGATCTTTTAGAGCAGCCTCGGGAAGTATGGGCTGCTTGGGTGAAGTTGCCGAGGAGGGAGGGCTGGTGGACCGAGACGTGGCAGCCGGTTCGATGATATTCAGCTTCTGGAGGCGATCACGCAGGTTGGTGGCGCTGCGAGAGAAATTACGGTTCAATGGAAGCAGATCTGGCGTTCCGGCACGCTGACGGCTTAGGCTTTCCAGGCGGTTCAAAGTCGAGGACTGTTGATTCTGAGCCGTCTGTGTGAGGCCTTGTCCATAGAGACGACGAGACCGAACGGAGCCATTACGGGGTGTAGACATGGCGGATTGTGGGTGAGCATCGGCTGGGCATTCTGGAGGAGGCGCGGAAGCCGTTGACGGCTGAGAGGCACTTGGCAGGGATTCGTCGATTGAAGTGGCAGCGGTCGAGGTACGAGCATTACTAGTGGGCCCGGACGCCGTGGAAGAGTAGGTAGTGCGTTTTGTGGAGAAAGTTGAAGTCGCATCCTCTGATTCTTGCATCGCGGTCTCCTGGGCTGCCTCTGCTTGGGCTGCCTCCTCCGCAAGTCGCTGTTCTTCCTTCTCCTTGTGCCTCATCTTCTGGAAGGCGGACATATTCAAATCATGTTCGTAGACAAACTTGCCCATACCGCGGTTGGGCTCCGTTGAACTGGGCGATGTCGCCGCAGGCGAGCGGACCGGGATGCGATACACTTTTTGGCGGCCACCGAAAAGATTGTTACCTTCCGCCCGACGAGCTCGGCTCATGATGCTCCCACTTTGCGAGCGGTCGTCGTCGGTACCGTATCCTCCTTCCATGCCAGACGCGTAGGAATCTGCTCGTCCCAGGGCAATCGAAGGACGACTGCCGTCGTTGGATGATACCTCGTCGATATCCGTCAACATACTGGGATTGTGGCCGAATAGGTTCAATCGTGAGGCTCGCTTGGGGAACAGAACGCTATCATCGCTGGCCTTCCCAATCATGGTATCTGGGTCATCCTGTTCTCTCAACATGCTGAACCGAGCGGATAGCTTGGGCATGAGCAGACTCGTGCGGAAATCATCCGAGGAAGGGAGCGCCCCCGATAGGTCCAGTTTGAATTGTTCCTCTGCCGCATCCTTCTTCTTTGAGGGCTTCAAACTAAATGGCGAGGTCGAGGTTGATGGTCCATTCTCCAACTCATCCAATGTCTCCTTGACCTTTTTGTTCTTGCGAAAGCGATGCATTATGAAATAAGAGTGACCGAGACTCTGTCGGCGATAGAAAGAGCGATTACCGGCCTAGATATGCTCGGAGCGAAGCGAATGGCGAGGGAGAGGACCGAGTAAACGATTGCTAAATTCAAAGCTTGAATGTCAGTCTTGCTAATCATTTCTTTTCGCCCTGAATTGTACTCCTGTGACCGACTCACTGGAGATTCCTTAACCGGAGAGTGGAAAGAGCGGCATGGCCGTTTGGCGCAAGATGGTGCGAATATGGCGGGGAGAGCAATAGAGCAACGACGGATTGCCTCCTGAAGTAGACGGAATGCGAGTAGCGCGTGTCAAGTAGTCTCCGCGATTCGAGGTATTCGGCGTACAGTAGGTCGAAAAGTGGTTGGGTCGCAGGGGATCAAACACCAATCAAGCGGCAGTCGAGGGTTGGAGGCAAAATGGCTGGACTGATCACACGAGAAAAAGGAAATGGGGCCAATTGATTGGGAGGCGATTGGAAGTTGAAAGAGGGGAGTGCGTGTTTCTGGTCGAAAGTGCAATGGCGAGTACAGTTGAGTAGAAGGAAAGAGAGACAGGGCGACGGGGACCCGAAATATGACAGAACGAGAGACTAAGGAGAGGAAGAGAACGAAGAAGCGACCTCGTCAAAGAATGCGATGAGTACAGAAGATGCACGGAATGGGGAGAGAAAAGTACCCTAGCGGGTTGAGGGTGTTAGCGCTGGCGTTGGCGTACTGTAGATTACTTGACTTTCCGTTACGGGGCTAGACACTGGACCGCAGAAAAAAAAATTATTTAAAATCGAAAATCAAAAGTAAAAACTAGAGACTAAAACAGACTAAATAAAATTAAAAATTCATCAGAAGGGGATCTGGATCCGGATCGTCCTCGTCCAGAGTGCCCACCATTCCAGTTGATCTCGGAAATCGACGAGTGTGATTATTCTAAGGATTCGATCTTGATCAGTTGATTCTGTTTATTGTTTATATCACCTCCCGTCATCTGCAGTGCAATGCCCATGAGGTCCAACAAGGGGCTTCCCGAGGGTGCTTCCATGGGTTACGGCGGAGAGCTCTTAATGCTGTGCCAATTACTGGCCAGTACCGTTCAGTACCCTTCAACTGCTGTCGGTGATGACCGTTAACCATCATTGGTTACCAGTCATTACTGAGGGGTCGCGAGATCGGTGCCTGGTAATTTAAAGACCAGCATTTCACATTGAGGGGGGAATCTAGGAAATTTAGAAATTGGCAGGAGAAAAGGGCGTAATGAGGAGGGGCCAATTGAAACGTCCCTTGCAGCGTACCGCGTATTGAAGTGGTATTGGTATTATTCCTTCTTCAGTTTTAACCTAAACAGTGTACCCTGCTCCATCTTCTTATACAAAGTACATATATACTGTATAGTAGTATGTACAGTACTCCGTAGGTGTACATTATATTAAATCAGACATTATCAATGTGCAGTGACTATCGTATCTCTCCTTTACCTCGCGTGTGCTGCGGCATGTGGATCTGGGGCTGAACCGCCACTTCAACGACTGTGGAGGATCCCAGTCGCGCTGCGACATGGGGAAAGAGATGCGCCGGATGGTTGAGCTCATACCAACGCGGGGCTTGGAGTTGCGACGCGTTCCAACTTTCAAGCCTGCTTCGCTTTAGGTGGTGTATCGAATGGCGATGGGGACTGCCCCAATGGAAAAGAAAACCATGTCGCCGTACTCGGTACGACAAAACAAGTGAGTCCGTTGAATGACAAGGGTCCTAACCTGTTCCTAGCAGGCTAACCCGTTGCTCTTCCGGCAGTGCGAAGCCGGTCTCCCAACAGTTGAATTTAATAAATGGAAAAATCCCACTAGCCTTTCTAGCCGGCCACCTTGGGCGTTCTAGTCGTTCCGGGAGTTTGGACACGGGACTGCCCCAGGGCTTCCACGAACAGTGGACTGGACGATCCCCGATGCCCCGAATATTAAACGGATGAAGGACCCAGTTGTCTTGGCTGATGCTCGCCCGGGGCTTCGGGGGCTTCTGAGCTGCCTGCCTAGGCAAGTCCGAAGTGTACCGTACTTTCACATCTAGTCGATGGCGGGCAATATCTCCATGAATCGTGTCCTCCGCGTGAGACACGGCAAGATCAAGAACGAATGACGAATGATGAAAGCATAATGGTATTATGGGAGAGATAACCAAAGATTTGTTATTGTTTTTGGTGTATTAGCGACCGATAATGCGATCGATCTCCTTGCATGGGCGGCAAAGCCCGCAGCATGCGGGCAGAGAACTCCTACCCCAACGAGGCACCACGATACAATTATATTTCCAATTGCCGCGCTCCTGAAGAGAAGCCATGGCTTACGGCGAGATGGCTTGCAGCTGGTCGTCGATAAAATTAGCCACTCTTGACGTATTTCTCCGATACTGCAGGGCCTCCTGCGTCGTGCAGCACTTCTTGCACGGTTCTCCAATAGTGGGAAATCTATGGTCCGGTCGTTCATCTGATCAAGCTATCAAGATGCAGTACCACCTCCATCCAATCCTGTACCCACAGTAAACAAACCATAGTTCGGTTCTACTGTATGATCGCTCTGCTTACGTTTCGATTGCTGCTCCTCTGCCGATCTATAGCTCCGGTCAAAAGAAACAGAAAGTGGTCAGGTGAGCGCCAATGCCATTGCCTCCCCACCCTGCAGCGATGATCATTAGCGTTGGAAAAGTTTTTGAAGGAAGAGATAACTATTGACTCCATCATGGCCTGTCCAAATCCGGCTTTTCGGCCCAAGACTAGATATTTCTCTGTGGAACTATGAGATCATGGAAAATAAAGCACAGATCATGGAGTTCGGCAACACGAACGGTGCGACACCCAAAAGGGGAAGGACTGGGGACAAACATTGCCTAGCGCGAATTAGTTTTGGGTCGCGTTTTGGAGGGGAAGGGCTTGACAGCCGTTGCTGGACCCGGTGTGGGAAAAGCTTTTTTGCGTTAGCGAGCGTCTGGACCACTTGCGGAGGACCTGCTCCCTTTGGTGTAGCTTTACTCCGTAGGGCAAGGGCCTTCACAAAGAGTGGAAAAAACAAGCTGATGGCCCTCGAAACTGCTTCGCTCGGGCCTGGAGGAGGAATGACCCCGGGCTGGACTTTTTGTATGGATGATTTCTTCTGTCCTCTCCCATCTATCGAAGAAGGATCCACTGGGCGGTCCTTTGCTGTTAATAATGCCGCCTCAATTTTGTCTTGAGGCAGCTCTAAATGGGCGGTGCCGAGGCACATACTGCTAAAGCGCATACATAGGGTCCAGCAGCAGTATGGCCCGAAATGGATATCTGGCGTGCTGATCAAAACTCGGATCGAGCGACGTTCGCATCTTGGCCAGCGAAAACATTTCGGCAATCGTGGTCTTCAGAATATTCTTCAACCAAGTTCAGTAGGGAGTACATATGCCACTCAGTGCAGGTACCGAGACAAAGTATGCGGAGGGGTTTCCGATAGATTAATTGTATGCCCACCATCTTGAAGAGGGGAAAGCAGACTTGTCCAGGCCAGAAGCCAGAACCTGTCGAATTGGAGGACCAACAGCTCGATTTTGTTTTCTCGAGGGGGCCTTACAGAACCATCGAATCATACGGATTTACAAAGATACTGGCGTTTTCCCGATGGCGGTACCCTAAACTTGCAACGAAGTTCCCCGTCGCCGGAGATTGGCTGGGGGCCAAGTGGTGCCCCTGACTAGCCCCAAATGGGGTGGCTTGGCTTCGTAATTTTGATGCTGCCCGAGAGGGGCATGGTATGGGGCTGTAACCCCTGGGCTAAATGGCAATGTTCGTGTGCAGAAGATGAGATCTATGAATGGCTGCAACAATCAGTGGAGAAAGCCACTGTTCCCTTCATTCATGCATCTCCTGAATTGCCGAATCGCTTGCTGAATCAAACTCTGATTAGAAAGAAATCGTTCTATTGTAGATATTATTACTGCACATATGTACTTAGGGTAGCTGGTGGGGAAACATCCCGGACAGAGACTCCACTGGTATCCCAATAACGGGACCTGAAATCGAATTTTGGATTTCCCATCCTCCACCGGAGGCGCCCCTTCGTCTCCCCCGTCTTTCCTCGTGCAAATGAGGCGCTGGCTGAGATTAAAATTTCCGTGCAATACTCGATCTATCAACTGGGGCTCACACATACTACGTGACTGCATTTTGATCACAGAGACATTATCTGCAGAGCATACACAAATATACTGTATGCTCCGTATGCCGGCATAAAACTACTGAATTCATTGATATTCGACAATATAGAATGACGATCGAGCCGCTATCATCGTAAATAATCCCCCTTCTTTTGCATGGGGATCGACTCGGAATCATGGACCCGATTGTATCCAAGCACACAGGGTCAACGCAGAAACTCTCGGGTGACAATCCCGGGTTCGAGACGAGGGAATTTGGAGCGCACGAAGCACACGATGGCTGCGGGCCAGAGGCTTAAACGCTGAAATTAGAGAAGAAAAGACTGGGTCTGTAATCTCGATAGCTGTGCTCCGCACCTTGGAGGGCAAGGAGGGCAGAGCGGATGGCCAGGCCCCTGCGAATTTCCTGTTTCATTGACTCGACAAAATTTGCTAGGGCTGATGTTGTCAGTGCGCCCGCCCTGCTTTCTTGTGGCCTTCTGCGATCGCTCATTCTCTTCTTGGATCCGGGCTCGTTGCAGTGCTTGATATGAACACCACCGGAGGTTGCTCCAACACTCGCTCTCGCTCACGTCCCTCTTCCTCTTTCGTCGTGCCCAATACCCCGTTATTTCGCATAACAGATTGATGTTCACCTTGAAGAGAGTAATTTACACCAGATGGAGATTTCTCGGTGCTCAGATTACACTTTTGCAAGGGCCAGGGACGACAGACAACGGTTCTTGGGTCAAGTGGAGCCCGTTGAATCTGGTATTTTTGTGTGACTCCGGATGTACTGTAAGTCAGTATGGAAAGGGCGTATATCTGTAAGTGGTAGGAACCCCCGCCCTGGTAATCTATACTAGACAAGACAAGGCGATCTAGAGCCCATTGGATATCAGATAGCCTAGCCTGCGTGACCAAGTGATCAAAGTCTCTCTTTGATTCGATTAAATCTGGATGTCATTGCCGAGAAATTTTGATGTGCTAACGGAGCTTAATAAATTACCGACGTCATGATTCAATCAAAGAGGCTTTTCACTGGATTGGACAAGATTCAACAATACAACCTTTATGGCTTCCGTTTTCCATTAAAGTGTATGTAAATAGTACAGACATTCGCAGTAGAATTTCCTCATTTGAAGGCCCAGCAAAGGTACAAAACTTATCGGGCGCGAGTTGCACAAAGACCCGGAGATGAGACATCGGCCACCAAGGGAGCTGGTATAATGTAGTTTCAAAAGGCCTCAAACAAAAGAGGAAGTTGAGAAGAATCTAGTTGAAACAATTCTCAGGTCTCTTTATTGAGACTTCGAACTGCCAGTGTATGCAGATCGGTCCTGTATACCTGAAACCAGCTCCAATGCTAACAAGCTTCGAAACTGACCTTTCCCTTTCCCAATTCCACTGATATGAGCAACTCTATCACTAGCACATCCATGGATTGGCATAACGGCTTGAATCATCTTCATAGTTCCCGTGATTTCTAGCTTCTCCGTGCTACTTCTTTCTGCATCATCTAGAACAACCGATGGTCTCTATTCCTGGCGCCTCTGCAAATTATACACAGCGGCAGGCTAAGGTTCTGGAATAAGAGAGCGGAGAAAGCTTTAGCCAGCTACTTTTCAACTTCGTCTCCATTCAAAGATCTTTCGAATGTCTGTGGAGTCGTCTTTCCAGGTAGACTAGGCAATGTCTCTCGGTTCACCTTTGGAAGAACGACTTGGTAGATGACTGTGAAGTTTGGGTCGGGGCTCAAACATGAAATTCCACTGTAGTTCGCATGGCATCTCTTGTCCCGCTTCAAATCTCACCATATTGGTCTATCGTCTTTATCCACAGTCCGATCATGGCTGCGGGCGTATTTAATATGCTAATGCGAGTGAGGCATCTTTAATGACTAGAGATTGCACATGACATTGTCTACGCTTTCCTGATATTCATGGCAGAGACCCCGTCAAACGAGATCCATCCACATATATGTCGACGGTTCTGACGACGATTTCCTATAGAATGATGGGTTTGTAAACTAGATTGTCTCCTGCTTGACCGAGAGAAATTGCTTGTCACCTAAAAACTTGTTCCTCCTGTCCCTGAACATCGCCAAACACCTCATCCAATCTCCTTCAAGATCTTCCCCTTAGTATCTGGAACTAACAGCAACGCCTAACCGGCAGCCAACAGGCACATTACCGCGAAGAAGATATAAGTTTGGTAGCCCCTGTTCGCCATCATAGGTGGAACGGCAATGGCGACGATAAAATTGCACAGCCACTTCACGCACACCGACAATGCGACACCCTTAGATCTAGTCGCAGTACTGAATACCTCGGACGGGATTGCCCATCTAAAAGGTGAGCATGACACTTCATAAACGAGGATAAAAGAAAATGCCATGGCAACTGTCACCCAGCCGTGCGATGCCAATTCTGACAACGGAACAAATTTAACCACGATTAAATTTTCAGGCGGACGCCCGTGACGCCAGGATGCTTCTTTTCTAGGACGAGCTGCTGGAATCTGACTCCGGTAATGATGCCCTTATACTCGACCTGCATCCGGTCATCGGTGGACGGGAGCTTGCGTAGCTTGCTGAGACTGGCCAGACTTTCATCGCGACGATCGACAAGAGCAAGCCAACGGGGTGAGTAGGGGAAGAAGTGGATACCAACACCTAGGATCGTCGCACAAATCATCTGCAGAGCGAAAGGTAGAGGAAACGAGGCTTCACCAGTAAGATATTGAGTGCCGTATATATCACAATAACCCGACACGATCGAGATATACTCTAACACCAGGAGAGTTCCACGGAGTTCGGGAGGTGAGATTTCGGAGATATGCAGAGGGGCGCATTAACGGATACATCATTAGATAAACAAGAGCAAGATATGAGAGAAAGGAGGGAGGCAACATACCATAGCCAGGGTGCCTACGCCGAGACCGCCAATTGCTCTGCCAGCAACCCAGGCGCCATAGCTCTGGGCAGAGGTCTGAATGATGGCACCAACACCAAATATAGCGACGACCACAGTCAAAGCCCATTTTCTCGAGATATTATCACACAGATAGAGCATAAAAAACATCCAATGAAGGCACCTAGTGGTGTATCACTAAATGCAAGTCATGGTATTATATCTTGGCCTACTCCTTTGGTTATCTTTAGTCCACCAGGAGTAAGAAGTATTGACTGAGGCATGACATGGGCTTAAAACATAAAAGGATGTAGACTTGGAGCTTCCTTCTTGAGACCGTAGAAAAGGTCCTAATTGAGCCCCAGAATTATAGATTAGTCTTCTATGAAAAGAAACTTCATCACTATACTTCTCGAGGGTGCGCTCTGAAGTTGAAATGTCAAATGTGAAAGGTCTGCGTTTAGTTACTGGTAGTGGCTCAGATACGGCTAACAGAGTCAAACCCTAGAAATCTGCTAGAATCTGACATACACGACGGATCATAAAAATACTAACCTTGAGCTTCCTGTGGTTGCCACCTATCTCTATGACGCCATAGCTGCAGTCCCCGCATGAGCTGAAGGAGCCTTAACAACCACCCACACATCCATTGCTCTCTTCAACTACTCTGTCCTCTCTCCAAAGTTTATCAGAACCACATCCCAATATCTCAAAAATGCAAGTCCTTCTTCTAGGCGGCCACGGCAAAGTTGCCCTCTACCTAACCCCGCTCCTGCTCAACCGCGCCTGGAATGTAACCAGCGTGGTGCGCAACCCCGACCACGAAAAGGAGATCCTAGCCCTGGGTAAGGGTCGAAAGGGCAATGTGAATGTCTTAATTTCCAGCTTAGCCGATGTCAAGAGTGCTGCAGATGCTCAGCAGATCCTCAACACTGTGAAGCCTGATTATGTAGTTTGGTCCGCTGGTACGCTACCCCTCCTCACTCTGCCCGCATCCGCCATATCCGGACAGCGATTGATCACACATCAAACTTATATTCATTTGCCCTTCTATATATTTTCTATTTCTAAAAAAGGAATATGAAATATATAAATGGAAAACTTCACTAACAAATGATTATACAGGTGCCGGCGGCAAAGGCGGCCCTGCGAACACTATCGCCATCGACCAAGAGGCCGCCAAACACTTCATGACCGCCTCCTTCGCGTCAACCAGCGTATCTAAATTCCTCATGGTCTCCTACCTTGGCAGTCGCAAGAATAAACCCCACTGGATGCCGGATGATCAATGGGCCGGCATTGTTCGCACAAACACCGAAGTCCTGCCCACCTACGCCAAAGCCAAACAAGAGGCAGACGAGTACATGACCGCGCTGGCATACATGCGCAAGAAGGACCCTGCGGCGACGCGTCCTTTCCAGGCTATTAATTTGCGTCCCGGGTTTTTGACTGATGAGCCTGCGACCAGGAAGGTGGAGCTTGGTGTTACACCGAAGGGGAAGGGGAATGTGACGAGGGAGGATGTTGCTATTGTGGCGGATCTGTTGTTGGCAAGGGCTGATACGGAGGGGTGGATTGATCTTGTTAATGGGGAGGAGAAGGTTGAAGAGGCGGTGGAGAGGGTTGCCAAGGAGAAGATTGATGCTGTGGAAGGGGAGGATGTTGAGGGCATGGTGAAGAGGTTCTTCCCTTGATTTAGATGCGCAAGAATGATCCAAAAGTTTGGCAAATCTTTTCCGGGAATATATTGTTATTTACTCTACGTATGAAGCCATGCAAGATGCAGTCTATGAATTCGCGATTTGTATATGGTATATCTCAACAAGTATATCTACAGTTTCGCCTTCGGACTCTTGCCCACATCCTTGAACTGCTGCTTCAACATGCGACGCAGGATCTTCCCACTGGGGTTCTTGGGAATCGAATCAACGAACCGTACACCACCACGCAGACGCTTATGGTGGGCAACCTTGCTGTCAAGCCATTTCACAATGTTGGCAGCTTCCTCTGCCTCAGTAGCACCAGAGGCCTTGCTCTTTGCGCTTCGAACAACACAAGCCAGAGGCACTTCGGAACCGTGAGCTTCACTCTCAATGCCAATCACGGCGACATCATCGATAGCTTGATTATCCACCAGAAGGCCCTCCAGCTCGGCGGGTGGCACCTGGAACCCCTTGTACTTGATAAGCTCCTTGACGCGATCCGTAATATAGAAGTTACCCTTGGCATCTTGGTAGCCAACATCGCCAGTACGGAACCAGCCATCCTCCGACAAGCACTCCCGAGTAGCAGCGGGATTTTGGTGGTATCCCAAGAACACATTCGGTCCACGCACGGAAAGCTCGCCGACCTCACCAGTGGCTACTTCACGAGGCTCCGAACCATCCTCGGGCATAGTCATGTACTTAGCTTCCATGTTGGGCATCAAGCGACCAACGGAACCAATGTAGTCGCGCCAATCCTCCCACCGCTGGGAGTGCGTGGTGGGACTTGTCTCGCTCAGGCCATAGCCCTGCTTGATTCCAACCTTGATGCGAGCGTACACGTTCTCCACCAGCTCCTGGGTGAGCGGGGCCGCACCAGAATTCATCATCCGCAGACTGGAGAGGTCATACTTGTCGACCACGGGGTGCTTGCCTAATAGAAGCACCACCGGGGGCACGATATAACTGAATGTCACGCGATAATTCTGTACGTGTGCGCACCACTTTTCAATATCGAACTTGGCCATGACGATAAGGTGGTAGCCCTTGTATAAGGCTTGGGTGAGCAAGCAGGTCAATCCTAGAAGGGGTTTGTCAGAAAATAGTCCATGTCTACGCGATTGACTCTTCATAGACGTACCGTAAATGTGATAGAAAGGTAAGAATGCCAGGACACGGTCTCCTTTTCCATCAGGGCCTCCATTCCAACTCAAGTTCCCACCCTCGCCTATTACTTGCTGCAGAACATTGGCGACAATATTCCTATGCGACAGCATGACACCCTTAGGCACACCGGTAGTACCAGACGAGTAGACCAGGAAAGCCAGATCCGTTTCGGGTGTAATCTTTTGGCGACGATATCGGGTGGCACGGGAGATGTTTCGAACGGAAGTGAAGTGCTTGTACCGAGCATCTCGGTCCCGCTCGTCGCCCAGCAGAATGATGTGATCTTCCGGGATGTCAACCTTCTTGGCAGCTGCTGTTGCCACTGATAAGACCGAAGCCTGAGTTGCGAGCGCCTTTGCGCCAGAGTTCTTCAGTTGGAAGGCGAGCTCATCCACCGTGTAGGCCGGGTTAGCCGGGGAGATAATGCCGCCCGCCCAGAGAGTACCCCACATGAGCACCGGGGTATCGATGCTGTTGGGGGTGAAAAGGGCCAAGACATCGCCCTTGCGCCAGTCATAGGTGGCCTTCAAGCCCTTTCCAAACTCAAGAGAGGCATCCTTTAGGGACTGGTAGGTGTAGTGGCGCTTGGTGTCGGCATCCTGGTAAAGGACTGGGACATGTTAGAACAGACGTGAATATGGCAGCAGAGTGCCCGTTCTTCGCCGAATGGCTTACTTTTATCGTCAGGGAATGGTCTGTCCTTGCGCTCGAACAGGAATGACCACAGGTCGACGCTAGGAATATCGACTGTTGGGTAGTTGGAAGAGACAGGCATATTGCGGGGGAGAGCCAAATGCCGATCCGTTCGTGCTGCCAAGGTGATACAAGGGCGAGAAGTCAAGCGACACGCTATAGGCAAATGGCTTTATAGGTAGACAACATGTAGATCGGCAAAGCCGGGTACGGGCAGGGTATAAATATGATTGCAGAGGAAAGGGAAAGGGATCTTGGGGTTACTCCGCAGTCTCGGTTCTTGGGGGAGCGGGCAGCCTCGGCCCTCTCGTTGCATTCCCCGCCAAAGTGGCCAATGATAACCGAAATACTCGGACTCGAAGGACTTCCCTACACTAAGCTTTGTGATACATGAGGCTGACAACTCTAAGCGCTAATGATCGATTGCTTGTATATGTAATATTAAACCAAAATATCATGATAGAGACTCGAATCTTTATAGTGTGATCCTGACAGCCAGCGGGACCAGAGGGATAGATAATCAAGCCTCGGCACTGTCGGCGTTCTCAACAGTTTGGCGGAGATGGCTCCGCAATATCTCCGACCATTGGACCCCTCGTCATGATCTAGTAACGACCGTTGCGTGATTGGTCTGATACCTACGTATTAGTCGAGCACGCAGGGTGAGTTGGCCTGCACTATCTGGGATACAAAGCAGATCTCGGTTCGTGGACTGCGCACGGAGAGATATTGTTTTGGGTACGTCCGCTGAGGCCCAGAACTCGATGAAATGTGTATGTGGAACCAAATGCACCTGGGCAGTACAGATATATATACTGGTAGGTAGGTCCTCGTGGCCGTAGGCCATGCCATCACCACCTATCCCGCAGAGTATCATAAACGGAACATATGGAGACATTGCTAGGTGTATAGCATGAATGGAGAGCCATTTGTTTCATGTAGCGTACCTCTGAATCTGTACGATGGCGTTTCTGATCCACATTCTAGCTAGACTTACACTTCTACGAGATTCAAACTTGAAATAATCATATCGTAAATTGAACTCCTTTCCCTAGTACCCCAAAAAGCAACCAGGGATAAGAGGTCCTATCCATTTGCTCTGCCGAAGACCGACAAAGACTTTTGAGAGGGTGCAAGTTCCCAAATAAGTTTTTTTTTTCATGCCGACAAGCTCTTAAATTGAAATGGAAACAGCTGATCCGCTCTGGAAATACAAGCTGAATAAAAGGAATCCAGTTGGGACGATACTGGCTCCCATTTTTTCCGATCCAAGCACCATCTCCACCACACGCCACTCCAAGGGGAATCGTTCGAATCGTTTACTTCAGGGGAATGAAACGGGAAGAGTGGGTAGCACCGATACCGGGACGACCGTGCTTGACGGGCTTGCTGTAGGGGTGGTTAGTGATGTATAGGTGCAAGTATATGGGAGAAGCAGCACGTACTAAGAGATAGAGAACTCAGCCAGGTAGTGGCCAACCATCTCAGGCTTGATCTCAACCTGGTTGAACTCCTTGCCGGAGTAGATACCGATGACGGAGCCGATCATCTCGGGGACAACGATCATGTCACGGAGGTGGGTCTTGACGAGGTCGGGCTTCTCGTTGGGCTTGGCCTCCTGCTTGGCCTTGCGGAGCTTCTTGATGAGACCCATGGGCTTGCGCTTCAGACCGCGGTTGAAGCGTCTGCGGGCACGGGCGTGGACGACATCACGGAGCTGCTCAGAGCTGAGGTCGAGGAGCCTGTTGGAGGGGTTCGTTAGACTGCGATTCCTTCTCCACAAAATTCTCACACCGTGGTTCCTATGCAGCGATGGCACCTAACACGCAAGCGACTCGTTGAGTTATTCATACGATCCAAGTAGATCGTTGAATTTGTCGTTGAAACCGAGACGTGCTGGCGCATGCTGAAAGAATTTTCACGGATAGATAGGGTCGATGGATCAAACGTACTGGTCGAGGTCAATGCCGCGGTAAGAGAACTTGCGGAACTGTCTTCTCTTCTTGATCTCTGTTGGGCGAAAGTTCTGTCAGCGACCCGGTTTCTCGTTCGTTTGCCGTGTGAGTATTTGCGTGTCCATCCCCCTGCGTCGAAGCCGTCTGGTCCTCCATCTCGTATTTCGTCATGGGTTTGTCGTTCCAGCACATTCATTCCGAGTTCTCCGTGGCTTCTCTCTTTTCGCAGGCGGATAGGGGTAGGGTGGGATAAATATTGATTCACGACGTACCGGCAGCCTCCTCGGCGTTCTAAAAGAATACTTGTTAGCATTACGGGTCTCGGGTTCAGTGTGAAAAATAGGGCGACTCACGTATTCGATGTCAGCCATTTTTGCGGTGTTTCCTTAGAGCTCGCTTTTCGAACGTATCTCGAAAAGCGAAGGAAGATGGGTTGTCGGGTGGGTTGTCGAGTCGCTGGACGGTCGCCCGGTACACTGGGACTGATGAGGTGGGCAGGACTCGCCTAAGCGACGGGTAGGTCAAGCCCTAAAACACTAGTCCATTTTGGGATGGCAGTACTGGAAATGTCACGTATGGTATTTTATTTCAAGGTACATAGGAGAGCATGCAATTACTCCCAATGTTATTACGAGGGGAGGTACTCTTCATTGATTTCCCTTGAAAGTGACATACCAAATCGTCATGGAGCCCTGAACCCCAGAGAAGCAAGATATCAAAAGAGAACGCAAGTTCATGAGATATCATTTGACATCTTGGATGCGATTTACCGACTGCGAATTACAGACTGCGGTTTACAGAATGCGGACAAGGAGAGACTAATCGATAGACTTGTACAGAGAACATTGCCACGCTCATGGTATCGAACCGGCTCGAGAACTGTGGTTCAACGACTACGCCCTACGTATACGACACAGAGTGGAGGACAGAAGAATCTGTATTGGCTAGGAGCTTTTTACGGCTCACGTATGGAGAATTCGTAACTGCGTCAGAACAGCCTGAACAATGCACATTTGAGGAACCAGTCGCTGAAGGGTATTCGCGAACTGGCCATTCCATCCAGATGTCTGTTCCCCCAACTCGTCATTTTTGAGACGCTTTTGAGCAAGGCATTTAGTCGAAGAGACCGAATCCCATGTCCTCGTCGGACTCCTCCTTCTCCTCCTCCTTGGCGGCCTCGGGGGCAGCCTCGGCGGCACCACCAGCGGCAGCAGCGGCGGGGGCAGCAGCACCGGCACCACCGGAGGGGACGGAGGCGAGCTTGGCGGAACCCTCAGCGATCAGCTAGTATCAGAAAGTCAGTACTTTGTTGTTCTCCGTCAGTATAGGATCGTGGTGGGTGAAACTAACGTCCTGGAGGTTCTTGCCCTGGAGCTCAGCGACAACCTTCTCGAGGCGCTCGGAGTCAGCGTCGATGCCGACGGAGGAGAGAACCTCCTTGATGTCGGAGACGGAGGGAGACTCGTTGCCAGCGAGGGCGAGGAGGAGGTAAGCTGCGAGGTGCTTCATTTTGATTTGACTGTTCCCGAGAAAAAAATTGTTGTTAGCGTCGCTATCGAAATGTTGGATGCGAAAAGGAATGGTTTTGTGCGCGAGCGCGTTTTTCGAGGCAGAGAGGAGGCAAGGTTGCAATAGACATACCTTTGGGGGTCTGATTAACGGGAACTGAGAAACAATCGATTTAACCGCGAATTGGGCGGAGACTGCAACGTCGAGTTCTGAAGATGGTTGAGAAACAAGAAGTAGCTGCGGGCCATCGAAATTGAGGGAAAAGTGCGCTGCGGCTCATGTGGCTGTGTCACCGCCTGGCAGAAAATATAAGCGAGTGTGGCGCGTGTACAGTTCACGTGATATATTGCCATCTCGGCGTGGATCATGTCTGGTTCTTTGAACTTCTATCCCCGCTCAAGCACTCCTTGCCTCTTCGAGAACCCCGGGAGCGCCTCTGCCTGTCGCGCCGTACCTTGTGGTACCCAAATCATTCATTTCTATCAAGACAGCGCTACTGGGCCTCCGGCGCCAGAACCATTCATGGTATAGCGTTCGGAGTCATGAAGCTACCCAGTCGAACTAATCATCGAGGGTAATCGGTACATCTTGTTCATTGAACTTCCAGAGGACATCGTTCCAAATAGCTTCTTTGCTACTTTCAGGCCCTCAAAATGAGTGTACGTCACTTCCTCTATGATTTGCTCTTGTAGGTTATCTAACTGTTCGAGTAGTTTCTTGATTCCGTTCTCTCCTCACTCGGGTCGGGCAAACCTGCCCAAGCCCCGCTATCTCAACCTCCAGCGATCCCAGCCCCATCTTCAACAACGATGAAAGATGAAAGACCATTGAGAGCAGAGCCCCGCGCACCTCGGCCTGCGGGGAACGCGGGCACCGGAATAAAGCGCAAGGCGGAGGACCAACTTGCTCGACCTGAGAGACGCGAGAGCCAACCAATTAGCAAAGTCCCCTCTACGAGGCCAGCGGCTTCTTCTTCGACGTCCAAGATTATACCAAGAGGTGCACCATCAACTACGGTGAAGCCTGCTTCGCCGAAGCCCGTTGTCAGAAGCAACACAGCACCAACGGACACAGCTCCGCCCGCAAGAGCTGCACCTCCGAAATCAGCAGCGACAAAACCGGCAGTTACCAAATCAATGGCTTCTAGACCGGCGCCGGCATCAGCAACCGTATCTAAACCAGCAGCAACCAAGGCCGCACCAACTTCTTCCAAGCCACCACCGAAAGGTTCCTTCGCCGATCTCATGCAGCAAGCCAAGGCTATGCAAGATAAAGCTCCCGCTCAGTTGGGTATGCTCCGTCATCAGAAGGTACCCAAGGAGAGACTGAGCAAGGTGGAGCGCAAACGACGACTCGAGGAGGCCAAGGCACAAGAAAAAGCAGCACGTTCGGGGAAGCGTCCCGCGCCTGGCCCGGCCGCGGCCGCTACCGGCAAACCTACTGTCAAGCGACGCACGCCCGAGCCTCTGTCATACAAAGGCACAGCCAAGCCATCCCAGACCCCCGAGCTTATTGGGTATCGGGGAACGGCCGGTCGGCAATCTCACCGTGGTGCTGCCGAGCGTCGGCCGCAGGGCAAACGTCGTATGGATGAATACCTGGCCACCGACGAGGAGGACGAAGGTGATTACGGTAACTATGGCGACTACGACGACCTCTATTCAGACGCATCTTCTGACATGGAAGCTGGCTTTGATGACGTGAGGGAGGAAGAAGATGCTGCCTTACGATCCGCTCGCTTGGAAGACGAGGAAGCATTGCGACAGGAGATGGCGGCAAAGAAGGAGAAGTTGGAGCGCCAGAAGAAGCTGGAGGCTCTTGCATCCCGCAACAGGCGGTGATGTGATATTTACATGCATCAACGGGTTATTTCCTACACTTTCATTTGTATGGGGAGGGGGTTTCAGGCCGAGCATTCTGAGCGTTTATATTCGCGGTGTCTGTAGACGGGGAGCATACAGTCCTTTTTTTTCCATTCATTTGTTCGTGAACACCATTATAGCGGGCGTCATACCAATACCAAATCTCATTAGCATTTATTTTGTGTTTTCAGGAATACCATCATTTTGATGTAATCTTTTTCTCCAAGTTGGAGTCCTTGATCAAATGTACAAATATGTCAGCGATTGGCCCCACTTGGCGGTGACATCACCCGCTCTCCCACGCTTTCCAGTCCTTATATCTTGAAATCACATCCCCCCATACTGCGAAGTTGTCGGCTTTTCCTTACAGCGTGTATTCACAATGGAGTCTGTTCATCATGTATCAACGTCGTCGAAGATCCTCTTCGGCAAAGTCCGCAAGATGGTGCCGCCAATGCTCGAGAAATTTCACAAAGGTTTGTTGTCATATTTCCAAGTTTCTACGATCAGCAACATCTGGATCCTGGGGTGCTCTGCTGCCAGCAAGTAATTGACAGATCGATAGGGCAGCTGGGGCGCGTAGCGGTCATAGGAGGCTGCGCTGAGTAGGTCTCCAATTGATATGTATTGCAGAGGTTTCTGGGCTAACCATCACGAAAGCTATACCGGAGCTCCATACTTCTCTGCGATAGCATCAGCAAAGCTAGGTATGCCATTGAATGATTTGATATTATCTCACAAGTCTAGACACTAACGTGGCTCCAGGCTGTGATATGGTATGTTTATCTTGAAGGCAGTACTTCGCTGAGCCTGAACACTGACACACTCCAGAGTCATGTCCTCTGTGAGCGCTCTGCTGCACCGGTAAGTCCGGCTTTCCCCCCTTTCTGAAAGTATGATACTCATTTAGTGTGCGCAGGTTGTCAAAGGTTATTCTCCAAACTTGATGGTTCACCCGATACTGCCAAGCACCGACTCGGTCAAGGACCCCAAGTCAATCAATGCATCCGAACTTGCAGGCCCTATTATCTCTATGCTCTCCCGTTTGCATTCACTGGTCATCGGACCAGGCCTCGGCCGTGACGGAGTCACGCTGAAAGTCGTCGCAGAAGTAATCAAGGAAGCGCGATCACGATCTATCCCATTCGTGCTGGACGCCGATGGGTTGCTTATCGTCACGGAAGATCCAGATCTGGTCAAGGGATACAAAGAGTGCATTCTGACACCGAATGTGGTCGAGTTTGGAAGACTTGCAAAAGCACTGGGCATCAATGTTAAGAGCCAGGCAGACGTTGCTGGCGATGGCGACAAAACAAGTAAAGAGTCAGAAGCCTGCGAACAGCTGTCAAGGGCTCTGGGTGGCGTGACTATTCTTCAAAAAGGGCCGCATGATGTCATCTCTAACGGAGTCACCAGTATCATCTCCGATATTAAGGGTGGTCTTAAACGCAGCGGTGGCCAGGGAGATACCCTGACGGGCTCATTGGGAACGATGCTGGCATGGCGAGCGGCTTACCACGATAAATTATGGGATTCGGGTGAGAAGGATAATGAGACGGAGGCACAGAACAAGGAGGACGTACAGGCTGAGCTGGAGTCTGAGGGCAGGCGCATGTCCTCGTCGACTACTCTCCTTCTTGCTGCCTGGGCAGGCAGCTGTATCACCCGCGAGTGCTCACGAAGGGCTTTCGAGGCTAAGGGGCGGAGCATGCAGGCCAGCGACTTGACCGACGAGGTACATCCTAGTTTCCTTCGACTGATTGGAGAGCCCGAAGGCTCGAAGACACACCTTTAGTCGAACCCCAAACTTTGGGAATTGGCCTGGCCTTGTCTCCTAGTTTATGGGTCTTAGTTGGCTTTCTACGGCCGCCATGAGATGAAAGAAGCGTCCCAAACAACAGAAGTGTCTGTACGATCATCCAGACTCGGCTTTTTTGCCCATGTAGATGACCCTGCTGACGGGGGCTGAATGCTGTAAGAGACCGCCCACCCACAACCTGTATTTGTGCAGTTTAAGCCACCATCCTCTTGTCCAACAAACCTATCGGCCAAGACGGGATAGGTACGATTTGAAGGTCTCACAAAAAACCCTTGACCCAGATCTCATCTCGTATCTCAACGACAGCAAAAACTAATAATCTATGCAAGTCCACATGCGCCAGCTATAGCTTTGCGCTGTCAGCTCGTATACAGATTTGCAAACCCCGTGGTATATTAACGCAGAAGCTCAGATTCTCACGCAGGAGTAAGGTGTCCAATTATTGCCGAGTATCAAGATGTGAGCATTAGATTTATGATGCCCGAATAATGAAATCGGACGTGTCGATCGTGCTGTCATGCCGTACATAGCAGTTTACGTCCTGAACTAGCAGGTTATTGGATACAGTAGACAAATTTAGAACAAGACCAACCATAATGATAGCATATATCATGCCAGGGTCCAGGAAGGGTAATTTAGAACGAACATGCAAGCCATTGAGGCAATTATTGCGGAGCCCCATAGTACCACTGCTGCCAATCCGAACAATACCTAATGCGTTCTTCCTCCTTCGTATTGCTTCTATCATCTTCATCCAGCCTCCCTTGACCCATGGACGAGCAGACGGATCTATGACAGCATGAATGATATTTATATCCAGCTTGCGGGCACGGCGTCCCAGCCAAGCCGAATAAGAGGGTAACCAATAGGATAAACCAAATCCCGGGTCCAAGAATCACAAAGCTTCCCAAAAGCATAGACATCGAAGCGGTGTAAGCCGCCGCAGTGACAAGTCCAGTCGTTACCCCGCAAATTCAGTCTATACATAGGACATGAATGGACGCGTTGAAATCGGAACCCCGATGGGCATTTAGGGCTGCCGGTGGAAGGTTCGAGCTGAGACATACCTGCACCCCTCAGACACAAGATTCCCTCGGGCATTCAACACATGGCGATGGAGAATTTCCAGAATGGTTACTAGTCGTGCGCCTCCCTGTTCTCCAGCTGGCAGGTCATCCACATCAGCTATCTTGACAAGCATTGGTGGTGTCTGGGGACCTTGTTCCAGGTCTCGTATTTTCGCCACGCCCCAGCCCCGGATCGGGCGGGCGCTGGTTTCCCCCGGCCTATCCGAGGCTGAAGAATCCAGAAAAGTTAACTTGGATTTTTGCTACAACATCGACTTTCGGGTTTAGTTCTCTCGTACTGAGACAATCCTTGGCTGGTGGCCTCGTGATATGTTGGTCGGCGTGGACAAAGAGCAAGAAGGGTGCGGTCTATCCCAGTCTACTGGTACGATGGTCTATTTCTGGGTACTATAGCCTGATCTAATGGTGATCTAAGGTATACTCGATACTATGCCCCCCCCCCCCCTCCAAGGCCCTGGAATAAACTATAAAAGGGTGGTGATCTACCCCAGATATGGTGCCATCCCCGCATGAAATTGAGCAATACCCAAGCCAAACACTATCTGATCAACTCTGACCGTCATCCAATCGTTTATCGAGACTTAAAATAAACATTCACCATGCAACTCACTACTATCACTGCCTTCCTCGCTGCGGCCACTATTGCCCTGGCCAACCCGGCGCCCACTTGCGGCACTTGCAATCCCCTCTCTGGCCAGAACAGCTGTGACATTACTACTTCGTGTATTAACACGGGCTCGACCTTCCACTGTGCCTGCCGTGCCGGTTACAAGGCCTCCAAGGATAACAACAATATTCATTCTCAGTTCCGTCTCAACATGCCCAACTACGAGTTCCTAGTCTTCGTTCCTCAGAACACCGTTTGCAATACTTTGTGCGATAACCCATACGCGGCACCTTCGAACTTGTGCAATGAGGTGAAGAAGTGGAACTCTTGTGCTGTCTAGGATACTTGCCTTGGTGGATCATCGATTTGATGGAAGAACACCTGGTACAATTTGTGGTTGCGGGTTAAGTGAAACTGGGCGACGCTTCGCAGATTCTTAATATGCAGCCCGCAAAGAATGATAGTAGCTCGGGGCTATTTAACGCGGCATGACACTCCTTTAGAATAATCAATGCCATACCCTCTACCACTACTTTGCTTAAACGGACCTGGCTGAAACACTATGAGAATAAAGTAAAGCAGATTTGGGATTAAAGATCTTTTGATTGCCCCAACATATCATCAGTACCGGCTTCTATTGCCCCACAAAGAATCCTCAAAAGACACCTAAACACCCATGGCCCCAGACTCGGGTTCACCGAATGCATCTTGAGATACGTAAACAAGCCCAGTCGACCTTGAAGAACGGAATAAAAAGAACCAAATGATCGCATTAACCGTGCATCTCATCGTCGCCGTCGAAGAATACCAGGCGTGAACCATTTCCGGCAATTTGCCAGACCTAGAAAATACAAAATTAGCAGAAGCTCTGGATATCATTCTGGGGATTCGAAGACATACGTTCAATTCGGCATACTCGTGGAGGGTGGTAGTGAGTTGGTCTTCGGTGAAGCCCTTGGCCAGCACGCGCTCACGAATACGTCTCACACTGAGGGCGTTGTCCTCATCATCACCGATAGCGGCAGCACCGCTCTCCCGTAGAGTACGGATCAAAGTGTAGATCTTGCTGCTGGGGGTGTGATCGGCACCGGACTCGCCGTCGTTGTAGAGAGAGGCCTTGCTGACCTCGATGAGGCGCAGTGCCTCGTCAACATCCTCACGAACAACCTCTTCGCTGAAGCGAAGACGGGCAAGAGCCTGTGAGAGACGGACGATACCCAGCAGAGTACGGGGCGTGACGTGGGAGAATTGCTGCTTGCGGGCCTCGTCCTTCTTTTGACGCTTGCGCATGGCAACGTACGCACCGACCATGTAGTCGGAGACATTTGTGGGGACGACGGGCCGGTAGCTACGGGCCTTGGCGATATACTGACGGACTTCGTGGGGAGTAAACATGACGCCGGTGTCATCGGTCTCGGGGTGCTTGTTGTGCATGTGGACGTAAGTGACGTGGCTGGCTAGCTCCTCGTCCGTTTCCCGAGACGGGGAGTCCAGGAGCAGGAACATGACATCGAAACGAGAGAGCAGAGCGGCGGGGAGGTTGATGTTCTCGACAGGCGAGATGCGAGGATTGTAGCGGCCATACAGCGGGTTGGCAGCGGCCAGGATCGAGGTGCGGGCATTCAGAGTTGTGTTGATGCCTGCCTTGGAAATGGAGATGGTCTGTTGTTCCATAACTTCGTGAATGGCAGTTCGGTCCGAGTCGTCCATCTTGTCAAACTCATCAATACAGCAGATACCGTTGTCCGCAAGAACCAGGGCACCACCCTCCAGCATCATCTCATCAGTCACGGGGTCTCTCATCACTGCAGCAGTCAAACCAACACCACTGCTACCACGACCGGTAGTGTATACGCCACGAGGCGCAACCTTCGTAATGTATCGAAGCAGTTGCGATTTGGCAACACCAGGGTCACCCATCAAGCAGATGTTGATGTCGCCACGAATGTGCATACCGTCACCCATCTCCTTGGTGACACCACCAATCAGCAGAAGAAGTAGCGCTTTCTTTACATCAAGGTGACCGAAAATCTCAGGGGCGATAGAGCGAGAGAGGTACTCGTACATGTTGCCAGAGTTCATGTGCTGCTCGATCTTCTTCATGGTGCGGCTGTCCATACCGATGTCACTGTAGGACTTCTTGTGTTGGGTGATGTGCTGAGCCTCCAGGTAGGTGTCGGTCAAGAGACCGGCACGGATAGCGCGGAAGCCAGTGTAGGGAGTAGGGAGGAAGATACCAGCAATGTCAACGACATCGCCGGGGTTCAATTGCCGAGTCTGAGCTCCATGGCAATGCACAGTCAGGGTGCGGGGAATGTGGCCCACAGGCACCTGTTCGGCCATCTCCTGGATCTTGACCTCCTGGAATGGAACAAATTTGGAAGCACGAGTCGACAGGAACAGCTGGCCCTTGGTGTTATTCTTCTTGCAGTCCTCCGACAGACACTCGGACAGGGGCATGAACTGCTTCGTAGTGATGGGCTGGAAAACTTCACAGCCGCAGACGTCGCAAGTGTAGGCGTTGATCTGAACAGCGGGCTTGACGTCCGAGACACGAGTTGTGATACCACGGACAGTGATCAGGCTACCAAGATGCTCTCCGCGCACATTTCGGACAGCAAGCGCCTTGCCGGCACGGTCGCTACTGGAACTGGAGGGTGTGAGAGGCTTGAAGTTGAGAGTGTATCGTCGAGTTAGCTCTGGCGGGAAGAGGGACGCAGCGGGGGCGGCATCCATATCGGCCTCCGCCTGCATTTCTTGGGTCTCATTGCGCTTCTCACGCTGGGACATGATCACGTCTAGCACGTCGTCCTTGAATCTATGCTGGGTTAGTTTAAATTGCCGCTTGTGCCATACCGTAGCCAATCGCAAAACGTACGTGATCTCTTTGGTCTCCTTAGGCATGACCGCATCCACAGCTTGCGAAAAGACATCGATGTAGCGCTTAGTATTCTTCTGGATAGATTCGACCAGCTTCAGATTCTGCTGTTCATCGGGAAGAGCTTTTTCGAACTATAGATAACAGTCGTTAGCAATGATAGTGAAAGTGGCAGAATTTTCATGTCGACTCACAATGTCCAAGTCGTCTAGCTCAATGACAACATTCGAGGCATCGCGATTGGCGATATCCTGCAGAATTTGCATATACTTGAGCTTAGGCTCCTTGCGCCTCCTTGCACCATGAGTCCCAGCACCCTCGTCATCAACGTCGTCCATGAAGTCGTATTCATCGCTGGTGCGGTTTCCGTCGATGTTCAAATCCTCCAACGCCTCAGTCGCAGCAGCTTCCGAGGACGACTGAAGGGTCTTGAAATGCTGAAGGAAATCCTTGAAGCCATCCAATTGCGCGGCATAGTCAACCGGCGCTTGGTATTGAAGCAAAGCCATGACTGAAAGGGATGGAGTGCGCTCAAATTCGTAAAAGAGAACGCAAAGTGGTTTGGAAAGTGGGTTCCCGCGAGAAAGAAAGGGCCGAGCTAAGACTGCCCCCTTCAGAGACCTCAGCCGCTGGGCAGAGCGAGACGCGAACGCGAAAAGACGCGCCAAATATGCACTAACCACTTCGGGAGTAGTTCATGTTCCACGTGTAGCTCTCTCGGATAATCAGATTCTCCAGCTTTCCGGGTAACCCTCCGAAAGCGCGGGAAAGTCCGTCTCGTCCGGCCCAGGTCACCTGACAGTTCACTTTGCCTCGGTTGGCCGGACTTGCTAGGCGGCCGACGGGTGTGGAGAGAGAGAGTCCGGGGAGTCTGTGACCGAACGTCCCACCTTCCTACTACTCTCTCTTCCTGTGCTTCTCGTGTCTACATTTGCGCCTTAATCATGGCGCCCAAGAAGCCCACAACGACGGCAGAAGTTGCTCTTGTCCCTCTCAAGAACTGTCTCGTCAATCTACCACCATCACTAGTCGCCTTGCTAGTCAATGCCAATACAGTCAGTTACCGAACTCGGTCGGTCGTGTGATATACCTTTTGCTAATGTCTGCTGCCACAGCCTGCGCAAAATGTTATCATTGAACTGCAGTACAAGTCTCCCTCTGGTAAGGCCAATGGCGCGCCGCCAGAGCGATCATGCTTCTTGGGCTGGACGGGCATGCCGAGCAGGCGGAAGCTTGCGCCGGTCGTTGGCCGGGAAGGCATGAGCGGCGGCTTCTCTAGAGAGCAGGAGATATCTACCGTCGAGTTGGATACTACTTTCGGACGACTTCTTGGTCTGACCGAAGGTCAAAAGGTATGTCATTCCTCCCCGCGGCATACGCTGTGCTCCACGTGGGGTAATGGAGGGTTGACTCCTTACAGGTCGGGTTACTCGTACACCTTGATCCACCCGTCGCGCATACAATCAACATCGAGCCATTAACACCGGAAGACTGGGAAAGTATGTTTTCGGTCTTTTTAAGCCGGATTGGACAATATACTAACTTATGTCCAACTAGTTATTGAGCTCCATGCCACATTTTTGGAACTCAACCTCCTCTCGCAGATTCGCGCACTACCTAATCCATCATATAACGCAGCACAATCCGAACATATTCACCCGCTCGCATTGCACCTTTCACCCACCTCGACCGCTAACATCGTCGTCACTTCCCTTGCCCCTGCCCCGGATGCCACCTCTCCGTTCGCGAAAATAGCACCGGATGCTGAAGTGATCGTTGCTCCCAAAGTCCGATCAAAACCTGGGAAGTCACCTCGAGGAGACAGCCGCAGCAATGCCGGGAGTAGCAGAAAGAGCACTGGTGGCCGCAGTTCTGGCAGCACGGTTCGCCACAAGAGTAGCCGGTCAGACTCCAGAGGCGCCTTGTATTTGCGAGGGGTGGAACGGCTAGCGGCCGATCAATACTTTGACGAAGAAATGGAGGAGGACGAGAATGAGGGATTTAGGGTCTGGGTTGACCCCGAACTGTTGGCTTCTAATGAGCTACGGGGCGCAAGCTGGGCATGCGTGTCCATTGTTCAGCCTGCTGGTCTCAAGCCTCCAGTGGATCCTCAACAGCAACTTGCTCAACAAGAGCAACAGAAATCCAATGAAGGGGGATCTCCCACAACCAAGCTCGTAGCCAAGCTTTTGCCGTGGGAGGAGGCACCCGACAGCAAGCATGTGGCGATTTCGACTTTACTGTGCAGTTCTCTTGGTGCTGAGAGCATGGTGGGTGGAATCGTTCGTGTCGAGGCCGCTCCTCCACAGCTTCATAGATCGGCGGTCAAGACACTCAAGCTATATCCGTTTATGACTGATTCATCAAAGAAGAAGGATGGTCTGAAATTTGGTGCCGACACGGCCGCTGCTCGAGATGCCCTGGCCGAGCGTCTTAAGGTCATCTATGGCAGCACTGGCTCCGATACTGGCCTGTTTTCGGGACCTTTGACTGATGGGATGATTCTTCCTAAAGTCGAAAACCATCCTTCAGTCTCGTCATTTGACGGTGCTATTCTCCGCTTTGATCCACCCCTGAAGGCTGGTCCCGAAGAGACCAAGACGATGTTCGGGTGGCTTCTAGGCTCAGAGGCTAAGCTGAACCTTGAGGTGCAAGCCGAGATACCTAAGCCGTCCGATGCGGGCTCGTCTGCATTGCCTTCCGATGACTCAATTCCCGACACTGTCCCCCAACTGGTGGGTATTGACTCGATCATCTCCCAGTCGCTCACAAATTTGACAAAGTCTTCGTCTATCTTGTTGACTGGTGGGCTCGGAGCTGGCAAGACTGCGCTGACCCACCTATTGGCTCATCGTTTGCGCAAGGATCACCTTTTCAACGTCAAGTACTTTTCATGTCGCAAGCTCGTCACGGACGAGACCAGAATCTCCAATATTAAAGAGGTTCTGAACCGCCTCTTCATGTCTGCTTCCTGGTGTGCTCGTCTCGGTGGCCAAGCCCTTGTTATCCTCGACGATCTTGACAAGCTTTGTCCCGTGGAAACGGAGATGCAGGTTGGAAATGACAACGGCCGTAGCCGTCAGAATAGCGAGGTCATTTGCTCTATGGTTCGGGAATACTGTTCCATGAACTCTTCCGTCGTTTTGCTAGCCACGGCCCAGGCCAAGGAGTCCTTGAATAATGTCATTATTGGCGGTCATGTAGTTCGCGAGATTATCAATATGCGAGCCCCAGACAAGGAAGGGCGCCGAAAGGTCTTGGAGAAGCTGACTAGCCAAGACAAGCCCCATGAGTCACTTAATGGCCACGTACGATCAACCAGCTCTTCTACCCAGAACACTCAGGACTCGTGGCTGGATCCATCGAATCCCGGAAGTCGGCCCAGCTCTTCTGGTGGCGACGGATTTATCCTCAGCAGAGACATTGATTTCCTCGAGCTTGCTGGAAAGACCGATGGATATGCGCCTGGTGACCTGGTGCTGTTGGTTGCTCGTGCGCGCAATGAAGCACTGATTCGCTCCGTTTCTGATCTAGCTTCCGAGTCCAAGATGATCACTCTTGGGACTGAAGACTTTGACAGTGCACTGAAGGGATTCACACCAGCTTCTCTTCGCAACGTTACCCTGACATCGTCCTCAACCACCTTCTCTGCGATTGGTGGTCTGTTCGAGACTCGCAAGATGTTGTTGGAGACCCTGCAATACCCGACCAAGTACGCACCAATCTTTGCACAGTGCCCGTTGCGTCTACGCTCTGGTCTGCTCTTGTACGGCTACCCTGGTTGTGGTAAGACGCTTCTCGCGAGTGCCGTCGCTGGCGAGTGCGGTCTTAACTTCATCAGCGTGAAGGGTCCTGAGATTCTGAACAAGTATATTGGTGCCAGTGAGAAGAGCGTTCGTGATCTGTTCGAGCGCGCTCAAGCTGCTCGACCTTGCATTTTGTTCTTCGATGAGTTTGACAGTATTGCACCAAAGCGAGGCCACGACTCGACAGGTGTCACCGATCGCGTTGTCAATCAGCTTCTGACACAGATGGATGGTGCCGAGGGTCTTTCCGGTGTCTATGTGCTGGCAGCAACATCGCGACCTGATCTAATTGACCCGGCACTTTTGCGTCCTGGTCGTCTGGACAAGTCCTTGCTCTGTGATATGCCCGGACACGCTGACCGTCTCGACATTATTCGAGCTGTAAGTGAGAAGCTGAAGATGAATGACGAGGTTCGTTCTCGTTTGGATGAAATTGCTGCTCGGACCGAGGGTCTCTCCGGCGCTGATCTCCAGGCCGTCGTATACAACGCTCATTTGGAAGCCGTGCACGACGCGCTCGGTGACGCCTCTAGTGGCGATAAGGCTGGTGCGAAGTCCAGCGCAGCGAAGAGCTCATCGGTCAGCACCTCGACCCGTTCCTTCATCCAGTTCCTCTACTCGTCGTCCGAGGAAGCTTCGGGATCGGTCTCTTTGCCTCCCCCGGCTGTTGTTGCGGCTAAGCTGGATGCCATTAAGAACGCCCGTCGTCGCCAGCGTCAGCTTGAGAACGGTTCAGCGGCTGCCGGTTCTACTCCTGCACATGCAGCTGCGCCCGTGACAAACGGCACTGATGCCGATGCCGACGGACTGCGGGATGACATCATCGTCCGGTGGGAGCACATCGAGCGTTCCCTAAGTTCCACCCGTGCCTCTCTCAGTCCGGCCGAGCGTCGACGCTTCCAGAGTATTTACCGGGAATTTGTCGTCGGTCGTAACGGAGAGATGCCTAACGGGGAGGCGGCTAATGAAATCGGTGGCCGATCGAGCTTGATGTGATTGTTGCTACGAGGGGGTTCTGTTGGATTTTCATGTACATTGTAAACATATACACCTTTTGCATTCTTATGGTTGTCTCTATCTTGCTGTATTTGTCGATTGCCAAACGCATGATCATACAAACCGTGCTACTTAGCCTCAATCATAGCTTTGCCTTGCAGAGAAGTGCTTCAACGGCTGATCGCATGTTAACTTACGAGTCATAAGTGCAAACAACTCCGTGGCCTGCATGCTGTTGTCAGATCACGTGAACAGCTAGCCCTCATTACGATTGTTGACGGCGGATGGGAGAAGTCTCTCAATCAGAGCCAAACAGATATTCGTAAACAAGGTTACAAGAGCTTATGACGACTGGCATAAAAACAACGAAGAACGGGCGAAAAGAATGAGATGATATTAACGAAAGTGACCATAATTGAAATTAATTGGTCACCAAAATCGCGATAGAACAAACGATCGCAGAAAATACACAAAGCAAGAAAACAAGAACCCCTGAGGGGAAAAACGCCGGCCCCGTATAATCATACACCTTTCTTCGCAGGTTCTTGTGACCCTGCGGTCGAGCATCGTACCAGCTCAGACCTGGTCCTTGCCACGGCCCTAGCTAGCCCAACCGGTCATCTTGTGTCGGAGACTGTTGAGCGCCTCCTTGGAAGACCCCTGGACACATGAAGCAATTAGTATGGAACTTATGCAGGGCAAAGTACCAATAAGGCATGGCATCAAAAACGGGATAGGATATGTGCAGACTTACACGGAAAGCCTTCACACCTGCCACCCAAGTTCGGGGGCGGACGATCTTCTTCCAGACCTATAACTTTCTCAGTATCCAGTCGCATAGAGATCAGCTTAAACGAAGTTTTCTATCATCTTACCGTCATTCTGCTCTGTGGCAGCTCCTCTGGCACTTCCGATGATTTTACATCAGAAGGGAGGTCGTCGTTGTCCGCCACTATGTTGTATAGTGGGTCGTTCATGAAGGCCCAGGGAAGCACGTCTGGGTGGGCGACGCGGAAATTGGCAAGGGCGTCTTGTGCTGCTTCGGCTCCATGTAGCCAGGAAAGGATTGACTGGGTGGTCTTGTAGTACCCCTCTTGCCAGTCCAAGAAGAGGGGGCAAGGCGTGATCTCGTCGTCTTCGAGGTCGTTGCAGAGAGTCATAGTGGTGCGTCGTGGTAGGGGAGAGGTGCGTGTGGGTTGGGAGGGTCGTGGAAGAAGAGGAGGGAGATGAGAGGATTTGGCGGGGCAAAGCTTGTGGACACGAGGAAAATGGTTTTACAGCGACGCACTATAAAATCTGTTCGACCTCATTGCTGGGACATTAGTACTTTACTCTCACATTTTACTCGGGAACACAATTTTATGTATGGGTTTGAAGAAGGTATCATTTGAGTTTAGGCCTTATGAGTTTCCTCCTCGCCAAATGCCTCTCTTTGGGCCACCTCTAATCAGATAATTTCCCTCTAAACATGGGGAAAAGAAAGCTTAGACAACCACAGTAGACGCTCCATCTCTCTGGCCTGGAATGATACTGGGGGTCCTTCGGGACAGGCTGACCACCTGTTCACCCCGTGGTAAAATATACATTCGACGCATGAGCATCGAATGTATCCCGATTCCTCTCCGCACCGACAGCCATCGCAGTGAACATATGGCTGGAGATTGTACTGTGGAATGAGCTTTACATACCCAAATTATCAGTTAGAGATAGTCCATGCATGTGAGCCCAGATATAGCAAAGTATTACTCACACGCATGTTGCTTGAAGGTCGTCGATTCCACTCTTCCGGGATAATAATTGGTGGCATCTCCGGTCGTCCATGTCGCTTCCACAGCGGAAGATTTTTCGTTTCGGGGAGTGGCCATCGGATATTCGCGTCGAAGAGGTCATTTAATGGGATGTCTTTGGTTCGCGGACCGACGATGCGGTGGTGCAGGTCCCTGGCGACCTGCTTAACCTTGTGGGGCCATTTGTAAATGCGTTTCCTTAACTTGCATGATTTCTGTGCTCAGTTTAGTCAGTAACGCTTGAGTACCGTGGCGTATTTGACGAGATGACTTACATTGAGAGTCATCTTTCCTGAACTTTGAGAGGTGGTTTTGAGGAGAGAGAGAGACCAGGTCCCTAGAAATCAGGGTGCTTTCAAAATCCGCGAGGAGGACAGTGAATGAGATGTTTCAGGCCACGAGGGCTGTTGGGTGCCATGGACTCCAGGGTGTAGAAGGCAGCGTCATCATGGTGAAGGCTCCATTCTATAGTCAACGACGATAACAGAGGCGGGTCTGTCTTATAGAAGTAACCTCGCAGTGTCTCGTCAACCCAATAATACTAGGTGCGACCGTTGCCTTGCGTAGCCCCGAGGTATGAGTCGTAGAAGCGGTTAGGACGGGGAGCAAACATCCGCAATCTAGGAGCACCGCCCATTCAACAAGCCCTGTAGGCAAAATTGGAGAGTATACGAGGGTAACGAGCAAAAATAGTACATTCTGATAGATTATTCTTTGTCTAGTGCTACCTGAACCAGTCTCTCCAACTTTTTCCACTCGGCACTAACAATGGCTTTAGAGGTACTTGGATCCATACCATTCGCCTTGAATTCATTATGAACTTGAGCAAAATTGGCTGCAACGAGTCGCTTGAAGCTAGGAACCGTGCAGCTCTCCGACTGCCGACTAGCGAGGTCAGCAAGGATATACCACAACACGTAGTGGAAGTTCAGTTCCGATTGCTGTATCAGAAGAGCTTCCTCTGAGTTACTCTCGAATCCCTCTTGAGAAAGATAGATCGCCAGCTTGGCTAAGATCCACCCGTGGAGTTGGCGAATCGGATGGGCGGGGCTGAAGAGAACGGGATCGATGCGGAGATATCTGATTGCAGCGTGGATGAAGGCTCTGCTGAAGTTGTTGACGGAGAGGAGGGATATGATGACTTGGTCACGTAAAGAGGCGTATGGTTGCCGGGATAGAGGCCAATTGGATGTCTGCTTAAGAATGCGCATGGCAGATTCGAGTTTTTTGATTTCTTCTTCGGGTTTGCCGTCGGATCGGGATGCTTCTTGCATGAGCTCCAACGCTTGTTTTTCTGCTGCTTCGAGGATAGCAATGTCCTTTGGAGTCTGGATGAATTTGTCCTCGGGCGTGTCGGTACCCTTTGCGCACTTGGTGCACTGGCAGTCGAAAAAGTATCGCTCGGAGAGCTCCTTGCGGCGGACTTCCCTGGGAGTTGTGGTGTCGATGTATGAGATGAAGATTTGCTCATCCTTTTTGATGGTTCGAAGGGCTTTGACATAGAGTTCCTCTCCGTCAAAACCAACTGTGGCATTGTAGTCGCAGCTGTGGTTGATTAGAGCAGCATATGGATGCAAGTACAGTCCAATGCGGTCATACATGGCCGTAGTCAGATTGAACGAGTTGAGATCCAGCTAGAAGAACATGTTAAAAAAAACGCAAAAAAATCACAGACGTGACCAAGTAGACACATACTCTTGCCGCATAGCCCATGATGGCTTCCTGGGACATATCCGTGTCCGAGTAACTTTTGACAGCTTTGGACGTGAGATTGATCCGATCCAGGTGAGCCTGAATTTCCTGGATATCTTGGATATGGGTCTCAAGATTGGTAAAGACTTCAAGCTCCTGGGTATTGTATTTCCCCTTCCGGGTGCGAAGAACCATCCGTAGGAGGGCCCGTCCACTATTAGGCAACACCTGGGGCTTGACTTTTTGGAAAACGGCACATTCCAGAGAATGGGCAAATTTCCAATCCTTGGCCTGACATGTCTGTTCGAGAGTGAGTAAAGAAATTCTGTGACGTTTTGGGCAAGTGATTGAATGAGGCGTATGCATTTTCTGGCCTAGAGTTCAAGGACAGGATGAATAGATCAACACCCAATCATCCTCTTCCATGAACAAAACCCAAACCACAAAAACAATTAAACTTACCCTATCACAATATTTAACAACCCTACATCCAGTACAAGCCTTTAACTCTGTCCCAGCCTCCATCTGCCTCTTCCCCAAACAGGCGGAGCAAGTATCATCCAAGCGTGGCGTGTCAAGAACCGCCACGAAAGGCACTTTAGCATGCACAACATCCTCTCCAACTTTGATATCCGTAGTTGCAAAGAGGCCATTGCCCATGCCATTTGGAGCAGGGCCAGGGACTGTCTTTGTCGTCACCGAGGGTAGGGGATTTCGGGACGACATGTTGTGGTGATTTTGCTGAATAGTTTAGGCCTCCAGATGCGCGAGATGATCTGATTATGTGCTTAGTCATCTGGTCTTGGCGGAGCTTTCCACGGAATCAGACTGGTAACCTCACAGTTGCAGGCTAGGATACGCAAAAGACATGAATAAAATTACAGAGAGCTGGTCGAATTACGGTGACGTGGATAAACGAACACCCTGGAAGATTGCTAAGTTGCATACCATTACAAAGCAAAAAAGCAGAGGAATAAAAATATTTCTTTTGTCGCTCAAACACAGAATCAACTACATATCAAAAGAACCCAGGACATATAAATAGTAAACAGGACAAACAGACCCAACTGTTGTCGGGCGGATACATTTAGGACCCATCACAAAACCTCTGTTCCCATCTTGATTCGCCGCAGACAGAGCCAGACAGATAAGAGAATAAAAAACAGCTGGAATCCAGACAGGAAATAAGAAAATTTCAAAAAAAAATGCACGCCATCTATCAACAAGATAACCAACCTTACCCACTACGCCGTCCATATAGGGAGCGAGTCAATCCTCAGAGGCGGGAATAGACTGCCCAGGAGAGCCCAAATGGATATTGTAGCCGGCGAGGCAGGCCCGTAGATGGGGGTACGCGACGGGTTAGACGGTGCGCTTTTGGCTTTTTGTGCAGGGGTGTCAATTTATTCATTTACAGCTCCTCCTTGCCACCGACAAAGTCGGACCAGGTGCGAACCTCAGAGGGGATACCGTCGGGGCGGGGAAGCTTCTGGTTCATGCACTGAGCGAAGAGAGTAGCGGTCTGTGGGAAGATTGCGTTAGTATGATTGTTTCAAGAGAACTGTAAAGAAGTATGACATACCTTGGGCTCCATGAACAGAGGAACGCTGAAGTCGACAGCGTTGCGGCGCATGACGTAGTCCTCATCCAGCTGGGTCTTGCCACGAGTCTTGGCCAGGTTGAAGACACCACGGATATCGTACTTCTGGAAGACCTCACGCAGGGCACGCTTGTTCTTCTTGGGGAACTCAATGACGGTGATGGAGACGTTGTCCTTGCAGGTAGACTCAAGGTGAGCCTTGACCTCGGGGTTGGCAGCGTAGAACTTGTATCCGAGAGGGTTCAGGTAGTCGACGATGGTGGACAGGTAGGGCTGGGTGATGTCACCACCGAGGAGGATACCCTCACCGGACTCGGGCACACGGAAGTTCATGGTGGACTGGAGGGAGGTCCAGTAGGCCTCAACCAGATCCTTACCGAAGCAGGCAATCTCACCGGTACTGGCCATCTCGACACCCAGGAAGGGGTCGGCACCGGCCAGACGGGTCCAAGAGAACTGGGGAACCTTGGTGGCAAGGTAGTCGCGCTTCTCCTTCATCAGGTCAACAGGCTCGGGGACATCACGGCCGACGAGCGCCTTGGTGGCGACGTCAATGAAGTTGGTACCCAGGACCTTGCTGACGAAGGGGAAGGAACGAGAGGCACGCAGGTTACACTCAATGACCTTGAGCTGGGGCTCAGCACCCTCCTGGTCGGCCTTGATGATCTGCATGTTAAAGGGACCGGTGATGTTCCAGGCCTTGGCAACCTTCTCGGCAATGTCCTTGACACGGCTCATGATGGACTCGTCCAGGTTGGCCGGGGGAAGGACCAGAGTAGCATCACCAGAGTGGACACCGGCAGGCTCAACGTGCTCACTGACAGCATGGACCAGGAGCTTACCGTTGGAAGCGACAGCGTCAACGTCGATCTCCTCTGCACCCTCGATGAACTTGGTGATGACGACGGGGTGATCGGGGGAAACGGCGCTAGCGTTGAGGAGCTTCTCCTTGAGCTCATCCACACTGTAGATGACGTTCATGGCAGCACCGGACAGGACGTAAGAGGGGCGAACCAGGACGGGGTATCCAACAGAGTCAGCGAACTTCTCGGCATCAGCGACGGAAGTAAGCTCCTTCCAGGCAGGCTGGTCAACACCGATGCTGTCCAGGATCTGAGAGAACTTGTGACGATCCTCAGCCTTGTCAATGTCCTGGGGGTCGGTACCCAAAATCTTGGCACCACCAGCCTCCTGGAGACGCAGAGCAATGTTCTGGGGCAGCTGGCCACCGACAGAGACGACGACACCGCTGGCGCTCTCGAGCTCGTAGATATCCATCACACGCTCGTAGCTCAGCTCCTCGAAGTACAGCTTGTCAGCAGTATCAAAGTCGGTGGAGTAGGTCTCGGGGTTGTAGTTGATCATGACAGTCTTCTTGCCCATCTTGCGCAGGGAGAGAGTAGCGTTGACAGCGCACCAATCGAACTCGACGGAGCTACCAATACGGTACACACCGCTACCAAGGATGAGAGTACCGTGGTCGTCGAAGGTAACATCGTGCGAGCTGGCGTTATAGGTGGTGTACAGGTAGTTAGTGTCGGCAGGGAACTCCGCAGCCAGGGTATCGATCTTCTTGACCCAAGGGGTAATACCGAAGGACTTGCGGCGAGCGCGGACATCATCCTCGGAGGCACCAACAAGCAGAGAAATCTGCTTATCAGAGAAACCGAGCTTCTTGGCCTTGAGCATGGTCTCGGAAGTGACGCCGAAGAGGCTGCCAATCTCCTTAAGCTCGTTGTTGCAGTCAACGATGTTCTGGATCTTGTATAGGAACCACTTGTCAATCTTGCTCAGCTCGTGAACCCGATCAACGGTGTAACCCTCGTGCAGCATAGCCTGGCCAACAGCCAACCAACGGCGGTCAGTAGGGTTCTGCAGGACATCATCGAGGTCCTCGAAGTGGTCACCCTGCAGACCGAGGTACTTAGGGTCGACCTGGCGAATAGCCTTCTGGAGAGACTCCTCGAAGGTACGGCCAATGGCCATAACCTCACCGACAGACTTCATAGCACTACCAATGTCACGGTTGACGTGCTGGAACTTGCTCAGATCCCAACGGGGGATCTTGGTGACAATGTAGTCCAGACTGGGCTCGAAGTTGGCAGTGGTAGTCTTGGTGACGGCATTGGGGAGCTCGGGCAGAGTGTGTCCGAGACCAATCTTAGCAGCGGTATAGGCCAGGGGGTAGCCGGTAGCCTTGGAGGCCAGAGCAGACGAGCGCGAGAGACGAGCGTTCACCTCAATGACACGGTAGTCAAGACCATCGGGCTGGAGAGAGTACTGGACATTGCACTCGCCAACGACGCCCAAGTGGCGGACAATCTTGATGGCAGCGGTACGGAGCATGTGGTACTCCTCATCAGACAGAGTCTGGGAGGGAGCGACAACGATACTGTCACCAGTGTGAATACCCAGAGGGTCGAAGTTCTCCATGTTGCAAACGGTGATACAGTTGTTGTCGGCATCGCGAACGACCTCGTACTCGACCTCCTTCCAGCCCTTAAGGGACTTCTCGACGAGAATCTGGGGAGCAAGAGACAGGGAGCGCGAAGACAGATCACGGAGCTCATCGGGGTTGGAAGCGAAGCCAGAGCCGAGACCACCAAGGGCGTAGGCGGAGCGGACAATGATGGGGTAACCGACCTCCTCGGCAGCCTTCAGAGCGTCGTCGACGGTACCGACGGCAATGGACTCGGCAATGGGGATGTTGATCTCGTTGAGAGCCTGGGAGAACAGGTCACGGTCCTCACTGGTCTCCAGAGTCTTGATGGGGGTGCCGAGAACCTTGACGCCGTAGCGTTCGAAAGTACCCATGCGGTTCATCTGCACACCCAGGTTGAGAGCAGTCTGGCCACCGAAGGTCAGGAAGATACCGTCGGGGCGCTCACGCTCGATAACGTGGGTGACATATTCGGGGGTGACGGGGAGATAGTACACCTCATCGGCGAGCTTGTGATCAGTCTGGATGGTCGCGATGTTAGGGTTGATCAGGACGGACTGAACGCCAGCCTCCTTCAGGGCCTTGAGAGCTTGAGAGCCTGTTGTTTATCAAAGAGCAATTGTCAGTTCATCGTGTTTCCTTGTTGCACACTGCGGAGACATAAAGGGTGCTGCTTTGTATTTGTCGCCGGAAAGCTCTCCTGGGAGGTTCGAGTCATCCTCCAGGGGGGAAAATCCCGGGGAATTGACTCCACACGCTCAACAGTAAGAAGCTTGTGAAACAGCTAGCATCCCGATATTCTCCCAAACGTACCGGAATAATCGAACTCTCCAGCCTGTCCAATGCTCAGACCACCACTACCAATGACCAGGACCTTCTTGACGTCGACCAGGTTGCGGCCGGGCTTCACCACGCCGCTAGCGAGGTACGACTCGGACGAGGGAGCACTCTGAGCAGCAGCCAGACGGGTGATGGTGCTGGAGAAGGCGCGCAGCTGCTGAGAGCGGCCAGCGGATGGAAGCTTCTGCAGGCGCAGGGCCGAGGCCGTGGAGCGAATGGAGGCATTGGAGGTGAAGGAGCGGAGAGAAAGAGCCGGACGAGCCTCAGCGAGACATCGCTGGCGCAGCAGCGTCGCCGCTTGCCCACAACGCGCAGCAAGAACCATAGCGCCGCTCAAGCGAATCTGAATGAAGGGTTCAATTGCTGGGCGGGAAGTAGTTGTGTAGAAGGTTGAGTGCCCCGACTTGTCGGAGGTCTTTTTTTCCCACCACCGGGTCGCTAATTGGCTAGTGGCCCTTCACCGTCAACCGGTTCCACTTCTTTTTTTTCTTTTGAAGAACCACCCCCAAAGGAAGACGAGATGGATGTCACACGCGAGCAAAGGTGCGGGCAATTGAGGCTAAAGAAGGAGAGATATTGAAGGGAAAAGGGAAAAGAATTACAATTGCCAAGAATTGAATTGAGTTTCTGACTCAACGTGCTCTTGATATTTTTTTTTTTTACTCCATGCTCGATCGTTGAAGGATGAGTCACGACTTGGTACTGGCCCAGTGGACCATCGAAGTCCCCAAGGGGAAGAAAAGGAACCGGTGGATAGACTGGGGGCATACCACTTGCCATTGAAATTCTATAGTTCAGTCTACGAGGATTGCAGTGGTGCGAGGGAGGCACACGGTCTATATGAATGGTACGGAGTACACATGTTGAGATGGTCAATGGATCTTGTACATAGTAGAATATCCTATAGACACTCAAATTTCCATCGAACGGGTCTTCGATCAGAATCCCAGCCGCTCACCAAAACGCAAGGTTTCGGTGGAAACACTAAAGCGCGCCTGCCGATGCCGGACGGTCGCACTGGAGACGCCCTCGTTATCGTCCTCTTATCCACTGCGGATCGACCCTCGCTTGGCCCGGCCACACTTTCACTTACGAGAAAAATATTCAATTTTTAGGTCTTTCATATCTCCCATAGGGAAATTTAGGAGCGATCTCATAGAAATTTTGACTGTTGACACCCTCGATCGCCAACTACCGACCCCGCCCTACGTCATTGGCTTTTTTTTTTTTTTTCCGTCGTCTACACAGAGTGAAGACTCAGACAAGACCTTCGTGTAAAACTGCTGAGCCCCGGGTTTTGCTTTCAACGGCTATGTAGAATTTGTATGCAATTGGGTTTGAAGCACTTCTAGAAGCCTGCGTCACAACATAATGCTTATTTAACGAGAAACTCTTGGCCTTTCCGAGGGCTGTGGGGAAGTATATAGTCCTGCCCTCTTGTGCAACACACCCTCTCCACCACAATATATATCTGGCGTCAAAGGCGGCCTTAGATGCGATATATTCAATTGGAGCATTACAGGACCGAGGTATTCTGCTTTTGCTGACAGAGCACATAAATGTGGTGGATAGAATTTGTAATGAGACGTGTCAATTTGACCATATATAGTCATGTTGACGTCGGATCAACATCTTCAATGCAAGTCGAGTTGGCAACATGTACAGCCCGACATCTCCCCAGACTCACTCGATCCCGACACGCCCATTTAAGCCCGACCAAGGGCCCTTCAGCCGTTTCTCCAACCTAGAGCCCCCCGATAACCCCATTCCAGTGCCACGTGTTGACCGAGCCTCTGAGGCCCATATGTCAGACACGTCCGGATCCTGCTCAGTCCCACCGCGCAAAACCTCGTTCAGATCCTGATTGAGAGTACCGTAAACGTCACCCAACAATTTGCGCGCATCCTGAGCAACCTCCGTACCCAGCAGCACTTTTTGTTGTACGTACTCTCGCTCACTGGTCGCCGCAGCGTCAGAAGCAAAGGCCCATGCTTCGGCCAGTTCGACTACTTCGTCAGGCTGGGGTCTGTCGGTGGACTTGGGGGCATGGCGCGGGTTAAGGGCTGCGACGGCGTGTTTAAAGCGCGGCTGTCGGGCGAGGATGGGGTATTCGGGGAGGAGGTGGCTTTCGTCAGAGAGACGGTGGAGGGCGCGGAGAGTAGTGGATTTTTCCTTTGCAAGGAGGCCGGTGAGATAGGTTTTCTGAAGGGCGAGGGCCTTTTGGCACTTGGAAAGTGGTATCAGGGTCTCGTTGGTGTAGGATAGAACGTCCAGCGGGTCTGGCGCTGGTACCTCCTCTGAGATCATTTCGTTTCTGTAGGTTTGTCGCGGAGGTGGTTTTGAGGTCACGACCACGGGTTGGCAGGCGCGCGAGGCAGCGCCGAGGAGATCTCGTCGTGCTTGAAGGTATAGAGCATACTGTGTGCTGATCTGTGTTTTCTGCTGCTCCAGAAGTCGTTGGGCTTCTTCGATTTCTTCGGGAGGGAGGTCTTGTATAAGGCTTTCATCCGGATCACCTTCACTGAATAACCTTTCCTCGACCCATTGTACCAGCTCATCGCGTGTCCGTTGCAATGCCCGTGCTTTGACAGCTGGAGTGACCTCGTCTGGCGACGCATCATTCCTCGAGGCATGTTGTACCTTGATTTTCTCGAATAAATGCTTCTCCTGGTCCAATCGAGCTCGGGCACGCACGACCGCCCTCTCAAGCTTGTGTACCAGGTCCTCCAAATCAATCTCCGCGCCATTGTGACCCGGCACATTTGCATCGGGCCCCTCTGGTAACAGTAGGATTTGTTGATGACTCGAATCTTCTTCGATTTCCATATCTTTCGATCCGTCCGCCTCTTTCGCTCTCAATTCCTCTAGGTAATACTGAAACACCTGAAGCTTGGTATGCCGCTGCCGATCACGCAGGAGCTGGAGATAATCTCGCAGGTCGGCGCCAGGTTCCTGCCGATCGGCCGCTTCGACAGGTCGGGTCTCAGGCACCCGCTGACGTCGTAAAGCCGTGACATCCTCAGACACTAAGCGGTACTCTTTCCGGGCGATGATATTTGCCTGCAACGCCTTCAAGTATTCCTTTCGAATGCCCGGGAGATCGGTAGGGATGCGCTTGACATCGATTACGGCGTCGCCGGGCGCGCATAAGGCGAGGTGTGACTGGGTGTAGCCCAAGGGTTCCGTCTCGTCAGCAAAAACGATGAGCGAGCGCAGGTACGACGTCAATGCCTGGCGGATGTGGAGAGCTTCCTGACGGGGCTTGACGTAAGGAGCGAGCGGTTTCGCAAAAGGGGGAATGTAGGTAGTGAGATCGTTGGACTGGGCCATGGTGCCTCGTTGACAGGGGGGGTTTAGGGTGACAGGAAATAAACCGAGGTCAGAATATCCCCCGTTGGCCCCCGCAAAACGTCGGAAGCAGGGAGAAGAGGGTCCCCGTCAATTTTGGGGCGTTCGGTTTCCCCGTTCCCCGTTCAACGTTGATGTTTTGCTGTTTTGGGCGCGATTATGTAACCTGCCGATCAAGTGGATTTCCACTGGAGCTTATTCGTTTTTTTGGGGGGATGCGAGGAGGGACCGAGGATTTATTTGATATTGATCTCGTTCTTGTGTATAGGATGTATTGATAATGGTTAAGGTATGAATATGGTCCGATATGCTCGGAGACCAAGGTGACGCCTGAATTCCAATACTACACCCTACTCGGGGTAGATATTGCCTTTGTACATTTGTCATTGATAATTCAAGCATGGCGACTGCTCATACTGCACCTCGTAGAGGTCCGAGCACCTGCTACACTCGACCAAATACTTCTCTGTCTCTCCGATCCAATGCTGGAGCCAGCCAACCCCGCGGGAGTAGGTAGTACATACTCTTGCAGAGTAGATGATATGCCCAACTATGAGTTGGCTATAGTGCGATCTGGCGATCGCCCAAATCCCACTTCGATGGGACATCGTCGAGAGTCCAATACTGCATGCTATGCATTTTCCAATAATGACACGGGCCAATGATAGCGGGTAATGGGAACAAACGCAGGACGGCAACAAAACAACGGGACATACGGAATAGTGACCGTTAATATTGCCTCTTAGTGCTACTCTACTCCTGCATCCAGTACTCCGTAGTTGTATCCTGCCGCGCTCTGAATGGTTGTCTACCGCCAGAATCTTGGCTATCAGGCTGATCATTTGTGTCGCTTATCCTTTTCCCCCCTCTCTTCGATCTCCGGTCTTTCTCCTTCCTCCTCCCCCTTTCCTCCACAACGGCCCTCCTGCGTCAGATGAGCTCATCTGTGCCCCGAGGAAAATCCCCTCCTGGAATGTTTCATGGCATTCCGATCAAGGGGCAGTGTTTTGATTTAGTCACCCCTCGTCGCTACCCGACGACGAAGGCAAAAAAGCACTTAATAGCTCGGCCCAGGTCCTAGGTCTTTTCTATTTTGTTCGCATGCCTTCTGCGGGTCCAGAGGAGCTCGTTTATTGATATATCATTCTGGTTTTTCCTTCGGCTTCGTCTCCAACATCATGGCCACTGAAAGAGCCTCTCGGCCTCGAGCCGCTACCACCAATATACATTGCATGGGCCCCCCTTCACCTATGACCAGACACTCTCGGGGTTGGAGTCAGGCTCACAGAAGTCCTGTCTTGATCCAGGGAAGTCTGCCTTTGGGGATGAGTGATCATGATATCACCGGTACGGCGCAGGGTAGGTCATGGTTGACATCTGTGGTATATATCTCGAAACTGACCGAGTTAGGGCCGCTGCGTCATCCCAAGCCGATTACCCCGTCAGATCTACATTTGGTGCTAGAGAAGGAGCAGGAAGCCATGGTGAGGCCGAACCAATAATGATCCGTTCATTTACCCAACGGAAATGCTAACGCTGGACTCTCTCTAGGTGAACCGATTGACTCGGGAGCTGTCTCTCCTTCGTCAACAGACAGCCTCCGTGGCATCAACAGCCTCCTCCACGTCGACCCTGAACGAGCCCGCCGATGGGTTCCATACCTCCCCGTCGTTGGGCAGCTCCACCCACACCCATTCATCACGGCGTCAGCGGTCATCCTCCAGCCTGAGTTCCCACACTGCTGCCCAAGGCTCGCAAGCTGCCAGCGTGACGGGCATTGCACCCTCTCGCGAGACGAGCATACCTTCTCGCTCGAACGATACCTCTCATCCTCGCCTGGTGCGAAGCCGTGAACCGTCCCTCACCTCACGCCGCCCGTCGATCGGGTCTATCCCCTCTCACCCGCAGTATTCCCACGGTGACCAGTTCACCCATTATGGAAGTCCATCTATCTATCCCCACCGCAATTCGGTGTCACAGACCCATTTGGGATTGTCTAGCAGTTCCATCTCACGGTACGAGGAAGCTGTTCTGACCAAGTCGGAATTGGAAAATATCAAGCGAGAGAATGAGCAGCTGCGGAAGCGAGTTCGCGAGTTGGAAGATGTGCTGAAGAAGCAGAAGGATGGGGAACCGATGACGCCGACGGAGACTCCGCCGCGTTTGAGGGGCACTTAAGGGACCGTGGAGCTATTTTCTATCTATTCTATTACTGCCGGGCGCAGTCCTACTTCTCCTTTGTTGTTACTATGATTATCTCTATAGGGCTGGAAGATTTGCAGGCAGGTAACAAATCAAACCTTTTCTACTGGCCTCGCCATTCTTGTTTTCTTTTCATATTTATCTAGTCGTGTTTTGCAACCACCTCTATATTTTTCCCTTGCATGTGATGGAGGCGAATAGTCGAAGGACTTTATCCGATCAGTTCTGCATTAAATGTTAGCCTAGAAAAAACTGGCTGTCTAAAAGATGATTCAAGAAACAGCAAAAAAGACCATCCCAAGGATAATATTAGTTGTGGCCATTACAAACACGTGCAGCCTAGGTGCAATCTAGTCATTACTACTCTATTAATATCCGAATCATTCTGCCTAAAGAGAAAGGAAGCTTTTTCCAATCTGTTGAGTGCCCACTTGGTTCAAGTGACGTGAGGCGGTGCCCGCCCCGCCCTACGTCACCTGTGGCGCAGACGTGGAATAAATAACTGACCTCACCAAGCTGTTTCCCTCTCTTCCTCGCTTCAACATACTCTTTCACTTTTCAATAATTTCTCTTACTCTCTCCGAAATCAACATCCACCAAAATGTCTGGAGCTTCCACCGTCCACGTTTCCGGCATCTCGCACTCGACCTCTGAGAAGGAGGTCCGCGACTTCTTCAGCTTCTGGTATGTCGCCCCCGCAAGAGCCCAAAAGTCGAGAAAAAGACACCCATAAGAGTAATTTTCCTTTCGCTAACACCTTTGATACAGTGGCAAGATCACTCACTTGTCCATCACCCCCGTCTCGTCCGAGCCCGATGCCCCAAAGTCCGCCAGTGTGACTTTCGAGAAGGAGGCGTAAGCTACCCCGCACCGCGTTTCATCATGGCACCATAGCCCCCCTTTTCACGACAAGCCATTTTTTCGATACAAGTGTAATACTAACGCAATATCGCCTTCATACAGAGCTGCTAAGACTGCCCTGCTGCTCGACCAAACTCAATTGGGCACCTCGTCTGTGCACGTCGAGGCCGCGCAGAGCATTGACAATCTTGCTGGAGCTTCAGCCACTGGCGCCTCCACCGAGAAGGAAGATGAGAACGACATCGCACAGGAGGATAAGCCGCGCTCCCGCATTGTTGCCGAGTACCTGGCGCACGGATACGTTGTGAGTGATGGCGCCATTCAGAAGGCGATCGCCCTGGACCAAAAGCACGGCTTCTCCGCCAAATTCACTTCCGCCCTGTCCAACTTTGACAAGAAGTTCAACGCTACCGAGAAAGCTCGCGGCATCGACGAAAGCTACAAGATCTCCGACAAGGCTGCTTCCGGCTGGCGCGGCCTGCACTCTTACTTTGAGAAGGCCCTTGAGCACCCCTCCGGCCAGAAGCTGCGTGACTTCTACGCTCAGACTGATAAGCAGGTGCGCGACATTCACAATGAGGCTCGTCGTCTGGCCGACTTGAAGCAGGGTAAGAGTACTGAGACTGAGGGCGTTACCCCCGCTACAAGCGAGGCTGCTGGTGTCGCCCCCGCAACTGTCCCTGCTTCTGAGCCGGCCGGTACTGCTGCCCCCGCTGAGCCAAAGGCTTAGATGTCCCTCTCCTCATCTAATGATTATCCCACGCTGGCCTGCTTTCCTTCATGTCTATGCTTTTCCATCGATACCTCTCGGTTGCTTCGAGATCTCTACTACGGATCTTGCCTATTCCGCCCTTTCATGTTGTGGGGGACGATCTTATGATTGCGATGATTCCGTACTCTGCGCGTAACTAGTTCTTGATATCTGAATGCGGAGCGAATGGAAATACACGACTCTTATGATTTAGTATCGATTCATACATGTTACTCAAGTCACCTGGTTCTACACCACTGTAGCTTGTAACATGGGCCGCAAGATATAATTCGTGATTTCATGACTATTCAAAAGCTAACCTCATGCATCAAATTCCCATCCAACATCCGATATCCTAACAAATTCATCCATTCCCTCCCCTTTCCTCCCCAAAATCAAACCGACAAACAAGCTCATCACTCCCTTCAATTCATTTCTTGAACTTCGCCGCCTCAATGTCTTCTAGCGGATGCTTGGGGTTACTCCCACCAAGCGTGTTCGCCTTCGGGTCCGCCTTCTCATAGGAGAACTCTGGTGCTTGGCTAGTCGATGAGCCATCCAATTTACCGTGAGAAGGGGGATCGCGCTGTTGAGCGCCAGATTGGGTCTCTGGCTCGGGGGATTGGCGGCCTGGGCGGGAGGCGGACATTTTGGAGTGAAAGTATTCAAGTAAAGCCGTTAGGTTGGTGAAGTAGTGGGATCCTAGAACAACGGTTAGATCTTCAGAAGAAACAGTAGTTGGTTTGTGATGTAAAGTATGTACCTCGGATAGAACCGTTAGAGCTGTGTACAATTGAATGATGTAAGGAATTTGTAAAGTGAATTGGGGTAAGAAACTGTTCTAGCAGCGTCTGTCTTAAGAATGATCGGTAAATATCTATGCTAACATAGCTGACGTGATCCGTGCTAAACCGGGTATCCAGGAGCTCCATCATTATGACGTTCTAACCACAACGACCTACCAATGCGTCTCGGCTTTAGAGAGACTCAGGATTACAAGATCCACATAGACTACAGGGTTATGGTTATCCCTGGCTCTGAAAGTCTATTTCAGGAAGCCTATCCCGGGATGCAGACTGTTGCGTATCGCATTGTTGAAGCAATAACGGGGGCAAATGGAATGGGATGACATCATTGCCGTCGAGTCGAGTACTCATCACGTGGCATATACTCCGTACAACATCCCCATTAAACACACCTCAGTGATTAGAATTACTGTCTTGATCCATCGAAGGACAGGTATTATAAGTCTATGAAGCTACGGCATAAGAGATATGTTTTGAACTCAGTAATAATAGCATGACTGATGTACTATATCATGATATGGAGGGTGTCTTTGGGGAATCTGTGCAGTGGAGGTGGATTAGGAAAGGGGAAGAAATTGGGAGATGGGGACTTTTGAGAGCACATCAACAGGGTGGACATGATACGATAAATGAAAAGAAATAAACAGAAGATGGAAATGGAAATGGAAACATGGACAGATATAGACGGCGGAAACACGCATGATCTAAACAATAGGAGGAAAGACATGAAATGGGCATATGTCTCGTGAGGATGAGTTTGGGAAATTCAGGGGAATCCCGCTCGAGAAGATTGAGCATCGATGTATCGGTTCACTCCATCTGTTGAATCTATTGGTTGCCATTGGACTGCATGCCCGCTGCAGCGGCGGCTTCAGCGTTGGCAGCTGCCAGCGCCTTGGCATCAGCCTCATGGAACACTGCCTGGAGGATCTGTTGCTCTTCGGGACCGAGGACCTTGGTCAAGTTCTCGTAGAGCTGGGGTTGCTCGGACTGAAGGCCTATAGGGAGGATTAGCAAAGTTCGAAGATGCAGGGGATCCGGGTAATCACGTACTCAGGAAGACATGCTTGAACATGCCGTACGGCTCGACCTTATCCAGAGGAGTCTCAAGCAGACTCTCCTCATCAAGCTCATCATCGTCGTCATCGGCGAATTGGCTGAACTTCTGGGCCTCCTTGTTAAGGAAGTCGAGGTAGGCAGCGCTCTCGTCGGCAATATCGCCCTCAATGGCCTCCTCAACTTCTTCCTCATTCCACTCAACCTCGCCATCCCAGTCGTTCTCCTCATCATCCTCGTCGTCCTCATCGTCGAGAGTGAAGTCGGATTCCCGAGTGGCATCCTCACGCACTATAAAATTGGTTAGCGAAAGAATTAGAGCGGAGTGTGTATCAAACGGAAGACATACGTTTCAGGGCAGCAGGCAAGGTCTGGAACAACCTTGTAACACCCTGCAGCAACCTCGGCCAGCCCTGCTGGACGCTCACGGGAACGTCAGCAGCCTTCATCGTCAGGAGCGAGCTGATAGCAGCGATAGACAGCTTCTTGTCATGAACACGGCGGAACTGGTCAATGCTGGAGAACCAGGTGCTGAAGAACTTGTTGGTCCAGCCCTTGGCTTCCAGGACCTGCAAACTGAGAGCGGGGTTATAATAGATGGCGTTAATAATCATCTCCATCAGGTGAATACGGTAAGACTTGGTGCGAGCCTCGCCGGCGTCGATAACAACCATGGCCAACTCAATGAAGAGAGGGATGTACTGGTCGATGTGACCGCGAAGGTTGAGCATGAGAGTCTCGGCCAGCTTGCAGCCGCAGATACGGTCAACGCCACCAACCTTGTCGTCGCGGAAGATGTCCTCAACCATGCCAACGACGGCAGCCAGATAAGCTGGGTTCTGAACCAGCATGTCGGAGCCGTAGGAGACGTAGTTGTCCAGGGCTGGGAGCATGTCCTCCAGGTACAGCTCAGCGCCAGCCTTGAAGGTCTTGTGGATCAGCTCGAATGCCTGCCACATGGTAGGCGAAATAGACTTGGACGCGAAGGTGCAGCTGTCAATAATCTCAAACACCTCGTTATAAAGATCGTACAACTTGTTCTCCAGAGTGATGCTGATGACGGGCATCAAAACGGTCTCCAGGTGAAGAAGGACATCGGGGGTGCTCTCCAGGGTGAGGATGAGGGTACCGATGGTCTGCAAGACACCCAAAGCGGTGATGCTCTTGTCGTCCAGGAAATCTCCATATCCGTCGTCGTCGCCGGCCTTATTGGCATTCCGCTCCAAAAGCTCACCAACAATGCGCATGTAGGTGTCGCGCAGCTGCTCGCTCAGGGCAACGGCGAATGGAGTCAGCTCGGCAGAGAAGACCTCAACAAAGTCCTCCATCACATTGGCCAGAGCATCAACATCGACCTCGTTGGCCAGCTTGAGAAGCTGCTGCATGATCTGAGGAATGTTCTGCTGCATCGAGGTGCGGATAACGTCATGACGGATCAGGGGCTGCAGAGCAAGGGCGGCCTCAACACGAACGGGGAGTTCGGGATCGGTCATAGACTCCAGAATGTTCCGGTAAATGATCATCAAGTTATTGGGGTCCTTGAAGTCCAGCTGCTCGAACTTCTCCAGGGTATCACAAGCACGTGCACGAAGGAAGCCGTGGGGGCTGCGGAATTCGGGGAAAACGTGGCGGACGAAGAAATACTCCACCTGGTCAGCAATGGGACTCTTCTTGCCCAGGATAACCGATGCAAGGGAGCCAATCATTCGGAGAGCACCCTCCTTCTCCCGGGGCTGCTTCTGGTCATCGGCCGCAGATTCGTACTTGCTGACAACGCTGTTGACGAAAGTGAGAATCGAGAAAGTCTGCTTCTTGCGGTTCTTGGTCAAAGAGACCAGGAAGTTGGTAGCGGCAACGTCGGGAGCGGAAACCTCCTCGTAGAAGTTCAGCTTGCGGTGGAGGTATTCCGAAGGGTCCTCCTCAAACAGCTCGATATCCTCATCCGACTGGCACAGGATCGGGAAAACGAAATGGGCGATCAAGTTGTCCATGTGCGGCTTCAGGTGCTCCCACATTGCCTTGGGCTTGACGCACTCCTCCATAAAGACCAAAGTATAAGAAAGAGCGGAATTGCTGAGCCATTGCGACTTGGAGACCCACTTGTCGATCTCCTGCAGATAGCCCTTGAGAATTTCGGGGGCAAAGCTGGTAATGAAGGTCTTCGCAAACGGGGTATAATCGGGAGTGGAGGATTTCGTAATCGTGGTGGGGTTGCCGTATCTAGTGGGGGTGAGAAATCGCGTGTCAACAGTGTCATCCTTTCGCGGAAAAGGCAGAGACCAGAGAAAAGGAAGCGCATGCGTCTTACCTGATGAAAAGACGGTTCAAGTTCGCATATGACCACTTCTTGCACTTCCACCAGTGGTTCAGCTCCCGCTCTTCCTTCGACTCAGCCATGGCGTTGGCGGGAGGAGTCTTGGAGATGATCCGGAGGAACAATGTGCACCAGTCCACAGTAGCTTGGTGAGTCTGCAGGGCGGGGGAGAGCTCGAACTATTAACAAGAACAAAACGGTTAGTGTCCTCTGTGCGATGCTTGTTTTAGAAGCGCGGGTCACCCACGTAGATAGCATGCTTGTAAGCCTTCACGACAATCCGGAGCATCTCAGCTGCCTCCAGGCTCTCCTCATCGACCAGCCTCTGTCCAATGCTGAGCAACTGGGGGAAAGAGTGCTCCACAATCTTATCAAACTCCTCTCTCTTCTCGCCGGCCTTGAACCGATACACGCGGCAGATGGCCAGCAGGCATTGCAAGCCTGCGTAAACTGTGTTCGCATCGTTTGTACCAAGAAGCTGAAGGGTGAGATCGAGGAACCCAGGCCATTGCTCGGGGAAATCGTTCTGAAGGATCTTCTGGAGGAGTGGCACCAGCTGAGCGCGAACATTGGGCGGCGTGGAGGCCAGAGCAGGAATCAGTCTCTCACGGAAGCTCGGCTTCTCAGCCTCTGGGACGGCAGGGCGTTGCGGGTTATCTTCGACGGGGGCCCATCCGCGACTGATACGGTTCTTCAGGTAGACACCGGCTAGAGAAAAGAAGCGGGGTATATTAGACATCGACATCAGTGGCACCGAGACATAGACTCATTGAGATACTCACCGGACAGCTGAACGGCATTGTTTTGCTCAGTCTGCAGGATGTCAAGCAGCGCGTTGATAAATCCGGGCTGCGTTTCGGCCTAGAGAGGGGAAACCCCCGAGGTGTAAGTCTCACGGTAACGGTCCCCGCCAGGAACACGCAGCAGACATACATATTTCAAGTCCAACTCTGCCTGTTGACGAGCACTCGCATTAGGGTCGAGAGTCGACTGGATACGGTCTCGGAGAGCCGTAACGTCCATGTTTGCACCGCCTAGGCACCCCGGCGCCAAAGATCACAGATAGGAAAAGAAAAGAAAAAAAGAACTCCACGCGAAGGATCCCCGGGAGAAACGGACCAGCGCCGGCGAGGAGGATGAGAAGGAGGAGGGGAAATGTCACGGAAGTGCAAAGGACGAATAGGCCCAAGGCGTTAGGAGGAGGTGGAGGTCGAAAAAAGTGTAGAGGGGGGGGAATGATTTATTCTTCTGGGATTTTCGCAGGCGGTCGCCCCGCAGCTAATCAGCGGCCGCACACTGATTTTGTATACTCCAGCGGACCACCCAGTTAGAGTTCAACCTTTCAAAACCTTTTTCTTTTGCTATATTAACGAGAGTAGGCTTGGAACATGGTTTTCTTATTTTTTTGATTTCATACTCGTTACATTGGTCTCGCTTGGAGACTATCGTCAACACCATACGGTGAATCGTAACCCGATGCCTTCTTTAGCAGGCGCACGCCCTCTTCTACATGTAAAGAGACGCCGCAAAGATGACGTCGCGCTTGATCAGCTCCTGCGCTTGCTGCATCTTGGTGTAAAGCGATGGATCGCCAACCAGTTTGGCCGCGTTCTTGACCTCGCGACAGGTCTCGTCCAGCCGAGTGATCGTTCGGACAATGGTACCCTCCATCACATCGGTGAGATCGGTAATACGATTGAATGACATGCCCTTGGCCCACTCGTAGACCACCTCAGCAAGACCGAACCGAGGCTCGCTAGCAAAGTCATTGGAGTCTTCACTGGACTGGATCACTTGGTGCAAAACCTGGTAATTGTTGACCTTCTCCGCAATACGGATAATAGCTTCCTGGCCCTTCTGCAATCGAGGTGTGAGGGTAGGGCTACTATCGGTCTTCTCCTGGAACACAAATGCCGACAGAAGGGCAACGATCTCCTCTGGCTCGTATTCGGCCAGAACGTTCTCCAGGACCAGCTCGGTCAAGACCAGTTCATCGGCGGAATGGATTTCACAAGCAACCTTGCCCTTCAATTGCACACGGGACTGCTCGTCCACGAAGCCGAGATCTCGTAGGACTTGAATACGCTGTTCATAGTCTGGAAGCAGTTGGAGGTTCTGATCTGACATCAACTGCTTCAATTGCGAGATGTTCTCCTTCACTTGCCATTCGTCATGTTGCATTTCAAACTGAAGGAGGAAAAGTCAAGGGTTAGCATATGCTCATGAGGTGCAACCACACCGGGTAATTCACTCACGTGGTCCAAGAATTTGGGGCATTGCAAGCAATGACATGACTGGATGAACTGCGCCTGAGCCCTCCGCTGATCTATGATATCCCGCGACTGCAACTCCTTGATGCGGACCCAATCAATCTCATCCCATCGATCACTAAGCCAGGATGAAGTGAACTTGGTTAGCTCTTTATCCGCAAATTTTACCGCTTCTGGTTTTTTCATGCGATTAGCTCAATTTGTCAACCTGGTTCGAGTGAAACACTTACCTTTTTTGATATTCAAATACCAAATCGGTCCACCAGCCTTGCACCTCGTGGTCGTGATACATTCGACATCTGACACTGGGATCTTGCAAATCTTGAGATGCATAGACGATCCGTTGGAAGGCAATTCCTGCAAGTATGGACGGAACTGGGGCAGGAATGGGAGAATGTCACTGGGATGACGCCGATTGTGGACGGTGCCAATTTCAAGTACAGTGATGCAAGGAAGGGCTCCGGTGGTAACACCCTCCTTGGTTATTACTCCGGCGGTGCGCAGTCCATCCTAAAAACACGATTAATACTTCGCGAGAATACAAACGTCAAAGTCAGAAAAAGACGTACCTTTCGATACACAACAAGCTTCTTCACTTCAAAGAGTCGTTTACCAGCGGGAGTTGTGGGCAGGCCGCTGTGTAATTCTGCAGTGAGTCTCTCATACTCCATTGCAGCATCGTGACAGGCAGCCAGATCCACGTCACAAATCTCGCAAGGCGGCCGTTTAATCTTCTCCAGGCTGGCCTCGGAAAGCTGGACTTGCTTTTCATGTTCTGGTAGCAGAGCTTGAGTGGCATTCTCGCTGAAGCTTCGTTTGATCATCTCTTCGATCTTGAGAGCTTCCACTCGGAGAAGGTTGAGAATCATGTTGTAAGTGAGTCGGAATTGGGATCGGAGCTTGGTTGGATCTCCGAGAATCATCTTCTTCAAAGCACCAGCCGGTGGAGCCTCGTCCTTGCCACTATTCGTGATGAGCACATAGCCCACAGTGTCGAGACCTCTACGTCCTGCGCGACCAGCCATCTGCGTGTACTCTCCAGGTAGCAGATCCCGGAAGCTTTTGCCGTCATGCTTGCGGAATCCGGAGAAGACTACTGTCCGGGTTGGCAAATTCAGACCCATAGCAAACGTCTCGGTGGCGAAGAGAACCTTGACCAGGGACTTTGCGAAGAGAATTTCGACAATCTCCTTCATAATTGGGAGAAGACCTCCGTGGTGCACCGCAACACCTCTGCTGAGCAATTCGCGCAGCCGAAGGATTTGAGGCAGAGTTCGGTCTTCCGGCTTCAGGCGCGTGAGTGACTTCTCGATCATCATATGGATCAAGCTCTTCTCGGTTGCATTGCAGAAGTCTTGGTTGGTGAGAGAGTCTGCATTTTCCTCGCATCGCTTCTTGGAGAAGACGAAAACGCAGGCTGGAAGCAGGTCTTCCTTGCGCAGATGTGACACAAGATGGACCCAAGTATTCTTATCTTGGGCAGCAGATTGACGGCCACCTCCACGGCCAGTACGAGCAATATTGCCAGTGCCACGGTGAGAAGGTTGTCCTCGCCCACCTGCTTGCCCTCTACCTCCACCTCCACGTTGGCCACTACCTCGAGGACCTCCTCTGCCTGTATCCTGTCCACGCCCACGTCCTCGTCCTTGAGCTCCACCGCGTTGCGATTGGGCCTGGGCTTGAGCCTCGGCTTCCTTTTTGGCTTTGGCGTCTTTGCCCGACAAGACATCATTTGCCTTCTTCCAACCGCCTTCGATGAATCGCTTGTTGGAGTCGACAATTTTGAATTTCTCCTTGCCAGCCCATAGGTAGTGTTCCAGGGGTACAGGTCGCTTGGGTGTCGAAATCACGTAGATATCCTTCTTCTTTGTGCGGCCAACCCAAGAGGCGAACTCGTAGGTGTTGGGAACAGTGGCGGACAGAAGGATGAGGGTGACGTGCTCCGGAAGCATGATAATGACTTCCTCCCAGACTACTCCTCTCTCGAGGTCATTGACATAGTGCACCTCGTCGAAGATGACAAACTCGACATCACGGATGAGATCGGCACCACGATAAAGCATACTTCGAAGAATTTCGGTAGTCATGATCACACAGCTGGCCTCGGGGTTGATCTGAACATCACCAGTGAGGATACCGACATCATCAAAGGTTGTCCGGAAGTCGCGATATTTCTGGTTGCTCAGGGCTTTGATAGGGGACGTGTAGATGGCTTTTGTCATATGCTTATTTGCCAGTGCGATGGCGTATTCAGCCACGACTGTCTTGCCGGCGGATGTGTGTGCAGCCACAAAGACGGAGTCGCCGTTCTCCAGATGATACACGGCTTCTTTTTGGAAGGTATCCAGCTCAAATGGCCATTCTCTGGCCATATCCGGTACCAGATCACTGAAGTTGGTGATCTCCTTGTTCACATCGACGACATGGGCCCATTCCCTACCCTTCTGCTTTTGAATACCCGCGAGGAGCTGGTTGCGCGGTTCGAGCGCAGGGAATTCGACAGGCAACAGAGCATCAATGTCCTCTTCTTCCATGTCACTATCTTCATCCTCAGCACCAGCCTCAGCGGCTCTATCAGCCTCGGGTGTGGTTTCAGGCTTATCAACTTGAAGATCGCTCTCCTCCTGAAGAAGGGCATGCTCCACTTCCTCATCGCCCTCTGCAGCCTCTTTGGATTTTGCCTCTGCAAACGTGAGGCCACGTTCAAAGCCAGGTGGTGTTGTCAAGAGACCGCCCTCGGATCCAAAGTTGATGATCCGATCGAGTCCAGCCCTCTTTCCACCACTGCGTGATTGCTCAGCAGTCTGTGCATCGGCCTCCATTTCAGCCAAAGCCTCGACTGCATCCAAGCCACCAGGTGCGAAAGGAAAGAATCCGGCGGCACCTCTGACAAATTCTGCACGACCAGCAGGACGGCGGAGTAGAGAGGTCGAGTTTTTGGCCGTATCACTCGTCGCTGGAATAGTCACCTCATGGTATCCCGTCACCCGTCCTTCCAGCCCTTCTCGTGTAAACCGAGTAACGGTTCGCGTCTGTGTGGGGGCGATCTCGAAGAGGTCCGTGGTGTCTGTAGGTACTACCCATCGCCTGGAGCTGTTATTAGCGAAGTTCAATGGTAGCGGCGAACATGGGGAAGCATACTTTTGTAACTGGTTGAGCCAATTGGAGCTGAATTTAGGAGATGGTGTCAAGAACTCAGCTTCCAGCTCTGCTAGTAGCTCCTCTCCACTCTTGGTCGCTTGCTTGCGAGGTCTCGTTTGGGCTTGTGTATCATTGTCCGCCTCGGCTAGCGGAGCCTCCAGTCGAGATTGGAATAAGTCTGAATTCACATCCTGAGCTGTGAGTCGCAGCTGCTCCATAGCAGAAGTCAGCGAGTCCGCCATTGTCGATGAGGATAGACTACAATGGGTCGCGAATGATCCCCGTTCGGGTTTCTTGATGTTCAGCTCGGTAGTGACGGCCCACCCCACCTTAGTGTGTGGTTTTGGTGGTGACAACGTGGGAAGTCGTGCCCCAGTTTCGCGTTGAATCCCGTGGAAATCGACTTAAAAGAAGGCCCAACGACACGTTATCGGCAGAGGGGAAAGCTGACAGAGGAAAGACAGGACATGGTCGTGAAGCACCAAAGCCAAAAGCTCCCCGCTGCCAGAGCTTCCACAAGGCGGTACAGTTGGGCAGTTTTGCCTATGTGTTGGAGATTGACGTAGTGTGGGGCGGCTACATCCAACTATAGAAATTTTGAAAATATTTCTTTCTCTGGTTGCCCTTCTTCGATATTTCAATGTTTAGCATCAATATACTATGTTAAGAGTTGAGATGCACACGATATTACGACATATATAAAAAAGCCCTGGACTATGGAATCACGTTGCAATCTTAGTGAAAGGAGACCTTAGCACAGCCCATGGAAATAGAGCCAAACCGACAAACCTGTCTTCGAAGCACTTATTATCTCGCGACTCCAACGACAAGCACCCTCGGGATACCTTGACTTGATATATTCTCAGATATCGAAGATACAAACATCATGCGGAGATTGAGCAGTCCACCGGAAGATAGTCGATATAAATACTAGGCATTGGAACCGTACCAAGACCATGATGGTGAGCTATTGTCTCTGACGATTTTGCGGTATGCCTATGTCTAGAATCCACCCTTTCGTGTCCCTTTAGTCTTGAATGTACGCGCCAACTGGCTTAAGATCAGCTGATGTGCTTTTAGGAAGCCTCCACCATTCGATAAACTCCTATGACATGTCAATTGACATCAATATCTCGTCCACTATCAAATTCCGACGCGTTCGGGCTATTTCATCTATGATCGTGATCCCGGATGAGATCTCCACACAGAGAGCACAGCCCCCAGAGCCGGCCCAACCATTGGACTTGAATATGAGACAGGCCGATTTGGAAACATAGCTCTATCAACATCATGAATACCAAGTCATAAGCACTGCAAAACGGATTGGTCGACGGGATGGCCGTTTCCGTACGAAGATTCAGATGTGATTTTACAGTCAGCATATGGCCATAGAGAAGCGCTTCACAATGTATTCCAATCCAACAACCTTGTACATCATTCACAAATATGCTCAGCATGCAATTAAGTATAGACAAATGAGAGCGTGAGATCCACCGATCCAACACCCCCAAAAAACAGGTGCGAATGCTATGTGCAGCAGACAAGTAGCGTCGAAGAATAATCAACAACCAGAAAGGAGAAACAGGCCAGAAAATGCTTGAAAGATAAAACACAGGTTCCGTTGGGCCACGGAGACACGAAAGATAGGATTCTGATAATCAACACAAAGAAGGAAGACAAGGGTATTGAAAAGAAGAAGGAACGACATCACGATCAATGCAATGATGGACTGGTACGAGTAACACAAATGGCATGCTGGAGATGATTGAGAATGATGAACATGGTTGGATGCAACGGGCTGCTTTTGAAGGGGCCGTATTAATTTATAAAGCCGCACACAGACAGGCAAAACAGAATGCGAAGTAATACCGACAGGCTTGACTGTACTGCTGATGCTTTTGCGTATTAACATTGTTAAACAAGATTTACTCGGTTGCAGAGCCTTCCTTCGGCTCTGTGTTCTCCTTCTCGGGTGAATACTCGTATTTCCTCTTCGCAGGAACAGACTGTTCCAAGGAGACGGCCACCGGGCCCTGGGAGACGGATTCAGAGGGCGTCAATGATGCCAACGCTTCCCGAGGTTCAGAGTCAGGTGTGCGGTCAATAATAGAAGAGATCGATTGCTTAATTGAGCCGTTCATGGTCAGTTTAGGCGGTATAGGCGACGCATCTTGCGAGGCGGCAGGGTCAACCGTATCACGAAGAGACCGTTCAGTCGCTTCGGTCTTGACTCGATAGATCTCATCACGAGGTTCTTCGCTGTCCTCGGGCTCCGAGTCGAGTTCAGGATCATGGCTTTCATCATCCGGACCCCCATCCATCGGACTATCTTCCATCGATCCACGATTTGACGCCTGAACTGGCGGCAACGGCGCATTCGGATCGTAGACAATACCACACATCTCGAGCGCACGCGATTGGCTGCCCAACGTGCGATCTTTATGCTTCTTGGTCAAGTGGCACATGAAGCCGTGCAGTGTGACAAAGTCGGATTTCCCGCAGCCCTGGATCGGGCAAGTTAAATAAACCAGGCTTCCATCCGAGGGCCGCTTCCACAGGGCGCGGCCGGAAGGATCGTGGGCGGCTGGGCGGCCGTGACGCTCACCCCATGCCTCGACGTTCTTGATTGTATACTTTTGCTTGCGCCGGATAGATCCTGCGCCATTGATGGCATCGTGGGGATTAATTGGGTGCTGATGTTGATGTTGATGAGGATGAGGGTGTTGAGGGTGCTGAGATGGAGGAGGTGGAGGTGGAGGAGCGTGGTGAGGTTGAGAATGCATATGGGCAGGTGGAGGCATAGGAGGTGGCTGTGGTGTGCGTGAAACTGGTGGTAGCGGTGTCTGGCGAGGTTCTGGAGGGCTCTGTTGCTTGAAAAAGGCCAAAGTCGTAGCCGCGCTGGTCTCGGACAACCGGCGTGGTGGTGTTGGCCGCATCGGCGGCGAGTCCATTGTTTGATTGGGCCCGAGGCCCATCGACTCTCTCTTAATCCTTTTGCGTTGTCTTCGGAGATCCTGCAAGATTGCTATTAGTATGTTGTCCCGCCCGCGCACACACGCTCTCCAGTATATCTGAGTATATTTTTTACGTACCTCCTCCTCGGCCTCGGCGCTCTCGGTCATTCTACGGAACTCCTCGTCTTCACGCTTGCGAACTGCAAGCAGATGATGCCGAGCTGCCATTCGGTTCATTTCTTCATGTTCCAATTGACGCAAGCGAGCTTCGATCTGATCTAGAGAAGACAAGGCCGCCGGTGGTGGTGGGGGAGGCGGTCCTGCATGAGGATCGTGCAAAGGTGGTGGCGGATAGTGACGATAGTGATGATTTTGAACCATTTGCTCAGGTGGAGGCATTGGTGGGTGAGAAGGCGGATTGGGATTCATGGCGATGGCCTGGTAGCGAGGAAGAGTGTGTGCGAGATGACCAGGAGCCCCGTTGAGGCCCTCGGGGATGGCGTGAGGCACCGGAGGTGCAGCAGTCATGACGATGTCTCTCGTTGATTCTTAGATGTATCCGTGCCTCCCTTGGACTTTTGAGAGCGTTCCTTTTTTTTCCCTTTTCTCTCGTTGCTTGTCTCAAGCCCTTAGCTACAATGACGGAGGGCTATGAGATAGAAAGGTACTGGAGAGGCCAGACGGCAATGATAGTGACCAAAACGTGCAAGGAACAGGGGAAGAGGGAGATGGAGATGTACAGAAAAGAAAAAAAAAAGAAGTTAAAAAAAACAGGACTTGGTGTGGGCAATGAGACAAGAATCGACAGAGAAAAGCCCCATTTTCGATCTATGGGTCGACGGTTAGGAAAGGATTGACATCCAGACGTCCCCATCCTAAGCCATCCATTCAAATCACGATAATAATAGCAAAATAAAAATAAGAAATGACAAAAACAACTAGCGCGACCCTTGGGCTGCATCCCCGTTATCGTGAAATTTCCCGCTGGTAACGGCCGAGTAAGGAGATCGGCCCCCCCGTAGGCTCTGGGCCCTAGGAGTTGGCCCAACAGGCTCAGGGCCCATTCAGCGCCCAAATTAAGTTAGTCGACCAGTGAAATCCTTTAAAATGGGGTACGAGCTCGGCAGGGGGAGGGGGCATTAATGTACAAAGAGTTTAGGGGGGGGGAGGACGAAAGAGAACGATGGAGAAGATTGGCGAGATTCGCACCACATTGGTAGGAGCTGAAATGTGTACTGTATCGCGATCTCCATTATTATTAGACCAAGACTAATTGAGATGATTAGATCATGGGCCAGTCATGGTTAGTTCAGACTTTCCGGGGGAGGATTGAATTGGCCGTATCATCATACATTTCGACCCCCCTTAACTGTAATTAGAATGAAGCAAAACCAGTTTAGGCGGATGCGGTCAGAGACTGAGCGGGAAAGCAGAAGGTCTGTTCAAAGTACGGAGTACAGGCTATACACAATAGCTTAAAGTAGCACACGCGGTGACAAAGTACGGCGTCTCCATGGTAAGAAAATAGGAAAAAACGAAAAAAAAAAAAAATCAAACAGCAAGCCCGTCGGATCAAAAGGGAGACAACGATTCCATGGATTGGCTCGGCGCTAGTAGCCCGATGTAATCAAATCACAACAATCACAATGCCTCATTTCCTGGAGATTGGGATTGCGCGAATCCCTGGCACTAGTCCCCTTTTATTCTTAGACTGAAAGTAAAATTGTCACATGAGTCGAGTTCCAAAAGTCCCAGAGTCCCGCCCTCGATCTCCCAGAGGAGACAGACTGGGTTCCTTCGAGATGAGTTACTAAGACGTCTAGAGGTAAAACGAATGTACGCTCTTTATCTAATACCAATGGGGGAAAAATTGTGACTGTGCGTAGCGAAACCTAAGCCCATCCCGAGAAAGCCTCCAGTCAGTTGACCACATCCTGTTTAATAATAACTTACCCACTATAGACCCCACTGGGCTTGTGGATGAGCGCATCTGTACGAACAAACACTCTTGAGCCACAGAGGAAAACTCTGGAACGCCTTACCCAGATGTACTAGCAACGGGAGCATCACAAGCCTCGTTTTTGTTTTCAAAGGGTACGGCGCATAAGGGGGAGCAGCGGCGCTTCCTGTTGGAAGGAGTGGCCGAGGTGACCAGTCTCAAACACCCCTTGTGAATTCTTTGTCAATGTAAATCATGTACGGAGGACTGTTGGAATTTTATTAAAGCTATGTTTATAATACGATGCAGTAATTTTGCCTTGTGAAAATGCTTACTATGAAAGGAGCATCATCGAGGGCTATACTTTACCTCCTATAGCATACTATTATAGTATGTACCTCTATACCGCTCAAGCTTAAAAGAATCACAATTACTCTGCCGAGCTTATTTTGCGCTGGAATTCTAGGTCGGTGCTCGGGAGTTGGAGCCCGCAGCTTTGACCATCTTCAAGAACAGGAAGAAATTGCCGGAGTGCGCCCGGAGAAAAGAGGAGCAAGTATGACGAACATTCGTTGATCCATCACTTTTCTCTGAACGAGTTAGTCCCAAGCGTCTAGCTAGCTAGTGCGCTTGAAAGGTAAATAAAAAATTACCTTCTGAAGTGGGGGATATCACCCACTACATGGAGTCAATTAATATGGCTAGGTCAAATAGGGGATCAAAGCAGGGCAAATCAGTCAGAGAGTGTCTCGAATCCAAATGGATTTTTACTCCAAATTGTGGCAGGCGCTCTCAGTCACTAGTGCGCTTCCCGTCCCCAATTTCCTCACTGTGAGTGGCTACTGAATAATTCCGGTCTCATCTGCCCAATGGCAAGCCGCAGATCTACCGTCATGGCTGCCAAGCCCTAGTTGCAGTCATTGCGGGAGATCATTATGTAACACAGGGGAAGAAACCGACCGACTGGTGAGGCGGGTTTTCCCTGGTCGAAGCTGCTGGAAACTGTGGGTTTCAATGGAGTTTCCAACAAAAATAGGATGGGTCGTTCCAATTTCCCATGCTCCTGCAGAAAAAAAAAGGAGCTCTCTTGCTCAGGGGTAAAAGGTTGAGATAGGGCTGGCAATAAATAATCTAGAAATGGATCTAGCAAACAATATTCAAAGCAAAACTTGCCTAGATTCTAAGCTACTGGCTCTAGACTCCATCTAGGAGTTTGGTTGTTACACAGCTATGTACAAGGAACTTTGATGTGACATCGCTGGGCCCTACAATCTCGACGCTATTGTCGGTACTCAATACTATCCATAACTACTAGTACATACAAGAGCTACAGTGGTTATTATTATCGTTGACATTGATTTGTTCTCCATCTCCACGCTTCAACCCTTTTAGGCATGGAATCAGTGGACTACTGCGGTAAGAACCACAGTTTCCAGCCAAATAAATTAAAAGACCACCCACACTGGCACACAAACAATGACCACATCCATGAAAATTGCTGAAATGCTAATCCTGTTTAGACATCTACACGAAGCTAGGGAATTGCTTTGCTTCCAAGAGCGCCAGGTGGCCCCTCTTGGTCGGCAACGTAGCTCCGCCAAAGGCAATTTCTGACTACAGTACGATATGTTCTCCGTACGGGGATCCATTTGTATTGTTGGGGGGTTTATGGAAGAGGGCGTTTTACTATGAAATCCAGTACAGTACCTTGTACTCGGAGAAGTCCAACAGACTCCGTCAAGGAAATTTTACGGGGAAAAAGTCAGTTATGGTTTCTTTACGAATGTGGTAGCTCATTAATCAGCTCTGTAGGTCAGATGACCTCTTTCTATAGCAACATCCTATGGTCTAATAACCCAAGTCTGGAGCAGACGCCAGGGCTGAGTTCGTGTTAGAGTAGTCAACAAACCTGCTAAAAAGAAAGACAGTGAGATAATGAATCGAGCCTAAGTGGAGACGGTAGGAAATCATACACAGACACTAGGGGCCGCGCTAAGGGCCGACGGTCTCACAAGAACAAAAGCTCATCAACCAATGACCGCAGCGCAAATGATGCCGGCGTTTGAAAATTTTCTACCTTGTCCATGATAGGATTAAGTGTTCTGCTGATTTCTGTACAGTGACTTTGTGTACGTCGGTAGGATGGGCAGGTCAAACAGAGGTCCTGTAAAGCTTCCCCTCCCCTCTCTGACTCTCGCTGCATAAAAAAAAAATTAACATGATCCATCGAACTATGTTCACATGGAGTATAGACGGCCCCGCCCTCTTTACCCACCAAGGCACCAACCAACCCCCCTGCCAGGATCTTTGGCCTCGTAATTCACAAACATCATCATTGGAAAAAAAGACCCACTTTGGAAGCCCAACTGGTGTGTACAATGATGATTTGCTCTTCGCGCGCACTGCTGCAGGGAAGCCTGCACTACTGCTTCGCTCTGTCACCGGGCGGCTTGAATCCAGATTGGCCCGGGGATCATGGTTCTATGTGGATGCTCTCGTGTCGCACCCCTGTTGAATGATAGTAAAGGACCGTTTTGCTTCCTGCATTGTACCTTTTCAACTGGCTTTTTTTTCTCTCCTCTCTTGTTCCGATGAACTCTGAATTCTTACGGGCGGAGAAGCTCTTTGGACCAGTGTAATGACTTTATTATTCAATATAGGAAGATAAACTTCGAAGGATAATGTCATAGTGATTTACCTAGACTATGCCCACTCCAAAAACAAGGTAAATGATCCAAGCGGCAGCAACTAAATGGAGCACCGGCCTCTTCAGCATCTTGTTTTTTGTTGCCCCATCGCCCGGGGACCTTTAGACCGAAAGAATACTACCAACTGTAATAACTAATACAATCCTAAATATATGGATAGTACTCCGTACTAATATTAAGACAATAATCTATCGTCTCGCTTGGCATTGATTGGAAATCTCGCCTGGCCGCAGCCGCTCTCATGCAAGGAATCGAGACTATGGAGGCAATTGGTCCATCTGGGACTAGCTAGACTAGCTTGGCCATGCGCAGACACAACCTTGTTCCAGGCCTGCTTCTCTCGAGTAGGTTGGCTGTTGGAATTTATTGGGTCTCGACTGCTACTGCGTACCAGACTCTCATACGACCATACTCTGGAACGCGTTTCGAGCTAAGCACGACACGATGGGACTCGAAGCTTTCAACGCTCAGCCCCGTGTGTGAGCGATCTGACATGTTTTACGACCTATCGTGTCTCACTGAGAACTCTGTTTCCCCATCAATAGTGATTGACTGGATTTTGGGTCCCAACGGAAGGGCCAAGCACATGTTATAGCAGATTATTGTCTGTAAAGTGGAAAGTACTTTTGGTCTCCAGCTGCTCAGCCATAAAGTAGCCGTCGCACGTACATACTTCCTTGATTATACAATTGATTGTATGGGAAGAGGAGAAAGAGTGGGCTTGCAGGATGCATTCGGGTCAGAAGAGCACACGGCCGCGCGACAGTCTCATTCGTCGACCATCGGGATATTGGATGGACGCAGCAACGTCGTGGCCACTTCGTGAGCCACGCACAGGAAAGCGCTGTAAAATGTAGTGTTAGGAAAAGTACCATGTCAGATTCTAATTGCCCCGTGGCTCTAGAGATGCAGGCAGGTTGCCTAATCAACGGTCTTACGATGGAGAAGAGAGGAAAATCAAGTCATAGGGGAAAAACGAGAGGAGAATGTCTGATTTCTATTGTCACATGCACCTGAAAAGCCAAAGTCCGCATCCTTTTTGGTGGCCCCCCTTGCCGTCAATGTCATTAGATACAATTGTAGACAATCCCGGGATACCCTCTGGTGAAGACCTAGACGGTCCAATCCCAGAGGGTACATGGGCAACAGAAGAAGGAAAAAGGAAAAAAGGGAAATAGATCATACACGTTGGTAGTCAAAACACCGATACACCAGAACAAGAAGGGGGATAAAAAAAGCCTTTGGAGATATGTATACAAATGATGCGAAAAAAAAGATGCAAAGACAAATCAGAATGTCTTTTTAACAAAAGGAAAAAGGAAAAAGGAAATAGAAAAATACATTAGCCACACGAGGTGACCGAGGAGGGAGGAGTAGGGTTACAAACGGCAGAAGGGAAGCAATTTACTGCTTGTTCTCGCCCTGCTGCTCACCACCCTGCTGCTGCTGCTCGTTCTGAGCCTTGTGCATCTTGTCGAACAGGGTCAGGGAAGCAGTCTGGAGCTCGTCGACCTTAGCCTTGAGCTCCTCAGCAGTAGCGGTACCCTCGCCAGACTGGTTCTTGGCGACGAACTCGCGGAGAGTGGCAATCTTCTCACGGATGGTCTCGGCCTCAGCCTTGTCAAGACGGTCCTCGAAGTCCTTGAGGGCCTTCTCGGTATCGTTCAGGACGCTGTCGGCACGGTTGGCAGCCTCAATGGCAGCCTTGCGCTCCTTGTCGGCCTCACCGTACTTCTCAGCCTCGTCAACCATGTTCTGGATCTCGGCATCAGAGAGACCGGAGCCGGAAGCAATGGTAATGGACTGGTCCTTGTTGGTGGACTTGTCCTTGGCGTGGACGTGGACAATGGAGTCAGCGTCAATGTCGAAGGTGACCTCAATCTGGGGGACACCACGGTGGGCAGGAGGAATGCCAACCAGCTGGAAGTTACCCAGCATCTTGTTGTCCTTGACGAGCTCACGCTCACCCTGGTAGACCTTGATCTCGACAGCGGTCTGCATGTCGGCAGCGGTGGAGAAGGTCTGGGACTTCTTGGTGGGAATGGTGGTGTTACGGTTGATCAGACGAGTGAAGACACCGCCGAGAGTCTCGATACCGAGGGACAGGGGAGTCACATCGAGCAGGAGAACGTCGGTAACCTCACCGGCCAGGACGGCACCCTGAACAGCGGCACCAATGGCAACAGCCTCATCGGGGTTGACCGACTTGGAGGGCTCACGACCGAACATGGACTTGACGGACTCGGTGACCTTGGGCATACGGGTCATGCCACCAACCAGGATGATATCCTGGATGTCGCTGGCCTTCAGGTTGGCATCCTTGAGGGCCTTGCGGACGGGCTCGGTAGTGCGCTGGATCAAAGGATCGACGAGAGCCTCGAGCTGAGCACGAGTCATCTTAGACTGAACGTGGAGAGCTCCCTGGGGACCGGCGGTGATGAAAGGTCTGTTTTAACCCAAAATGTTAGCAAGGGACAGGTCTTTGGAAAGGGGGATGTATTTGGGAAGACTTGAGAAAGGGAAACTCACAGAGAGATCTCGGTCTGGAGGGAGGAAGACAGCTCAATCTTGGCCTTCTCGGCAGCCTCACGGATACGCTGGATGGCCATGCGGTCGCCGGACAGATCAACACCGTTGTCCTTCTTGAACTGCTCGACAATGTTGCGGACCAGGGTAATATCGAAGTCCTCACCACCCAGGTGGGTATCACCGTTGGTGGACTTGACCTCGAAGACACCCTTCTGGATCTCCAGAACGGAGATATCGAAAGTACCACCACCAAGATCGTAGACAGCGACAACGCGGTCAGCCTCCTTCTCGAGGCCGTAGGCAAGAGCGGCAGCAGTGGGCTCGTTGACAACACGGAGAACGTTCAGACCGGCAATCTGACCGGCATCCTTGGTGGCCTGACGCTGAGAGTCGTTGAAGTAAGCGGGAACGGTAACGACGGCGTTCTTAATGGGCTTGCTGAGGTAGGCCTCGGCGGTCTCCTTCATCTTGTTGAGGACGAAACCACCAATCTGAGAAGGAGAGTACTTCTGGCCACGGGCCTCGACCCAGGCGTCACCGTTGGTGTGCTGAACAATCTTGTAGGGGACCTCCTTGATGTCACGCTGGACTTCAGCGTCGGTGAACTTGCGTCCAATGAGACGCTTGGTTGCGAAAAGAGTGTTCTCGGGGTTGACAACGGCCTGACGCTTGGCGGCAATACCGACGAGACGCTCGCCATCCTGGGCGAAACCGACAACGGAGGGGGTTGTGCGGGCACCTATTGAAGATCGAGTTAGCCATCAAATTTCGTCCACGTAGTCATGATCGTGCAGCGTAGCGGATCGGCCGATCCCAACATGTTTTGTTTGGAAGGTTCGGGCCCGGTCGCCGGCGACGATGAAAAATTTTTCACCTACCCTCAACGTTCTCAATAATCTTAGGAGTCTTGCCCTCCATGATGGCGACGGCAGAGTTGGTGGTACCTGGATGAATGAGCGTTAAAATAATGTCCCAATAATGCAATGCGCGACTTGGAAGCTACTTACCCAGATCAATACCGATGACCTGGCCCTTCACCTTTCCGCCCTCGGCTTCCGTGGAGTTCCATCGGCGGACGGCGGGGAGTCTGGAGGCAGGGGTGCGAGCGAAAGCAGCGCGAGGGAGCTGAAGCGATTCTTGTCAGTTGATGATGTTGCGACGCGCGTGACTGGGCTATGACTCTTTCCCGACGGGGAAAAAAAAAAGAAGGGAGACTTACCGCGCGAGAGATGCGGGAAGACAGCATTGTGATAAATTAAATAATACAGAAACAGAGAAAGGATGAAAACACTCCGACGAATCAATCGCTGAGTGGATAGAGAGATTAAGGGGGGAGAGAGGGAGGATGGAGAATGGATGAGAAGAAGGAGGAAGGGAAGGACGGAAGGGTAGAAATTGCACGGAGAGCGTCGGCCCGTTCGTCGAAGTTGCTCGAATCACGAGACACGGCCAATCAGCGGGCAGGGATGGTTCTGGGGCTTCACCGCCCGGGTGGACTTGGTTGCCGGATGACGACGAAGTATAAACCGTCGTGGATGATGCGTCGATTAGTATACCTTTGGAATCATATAGGGTGAATCTCGAGCTAGTAAAACTTAAATATGTATATTGTGAACTATTAGCTGCTCTATATCAACCCTAGAGTTCTCTCAACTCTTAAATCCTCTACGCCTGCCACCTCCGGACCATCTCCCGGAGCTCTCCCATTCTTTTCGGTTTGCCTCGGCCAACCGGCACATCTCCCCGAATGCCCCCCAGAATGCCTAGTATCCTTGCCCGGCTGCTTTGACCGGCTGGCTTCGAGATCCTCCGCCCCAGTATTCCCAGTGTGATGGCATAGACAATATCAACTTCCGCCCTAGTGGACATTCTGGGGTCCATGGTCCCCGGTACTGGGTGTCGTGTGACCTGAACTTTGTTTCGGTTAATGATAGTCAATTGCAAAGAAGACGGAAGGTCGGTCGGGTTATTCATGATTGCCACGTAAAATGCTCTTAGACTGGTGTCATTACGGTCACGCTAGTCCATCCTACAATGCTCCTTGAGGAAGGATGATATCTTCGTAGGTTGCAGACTGTCCAAGTCCAATTTTAACTTGCATTGCACGATGACCCTAGTATATATAGTCGGTGTTTCAGCGCTGATGGGTGTGGTTCTTTTGGCCGACTCGGCCGTCCTCATTCCTCGGTAATCTAGAGTCGGCATTTCTCTTATACATTGAGGATCGCACAAGCTCCGTACTAATCATGTCTGGATCTGCTGGAACCGTGTTCGTTTTCGGACTCTGAAACCCGCCGGCACCGCATTCGTTGGAAAAAATCACTGCTCCCCCAGCTTTTAGCTCCAAAAGTCTTACGTCATCCGTTTGCAAGCGCATACACTCTTTACTGAAACTCTTCGTTAGGCTCTTCACATCTCTACTCTTTGGTCTGCTCAACCGCTACGGGGTCCTGGATACCCCCTGCTTGCTTTTGCTTGTGCAGACAATGTCAGCGCTCGCCTAGCTTGTCAACATGACCTCGGACTCGACCGTGTAAGTCGTTATCTTTGCTCTCCCCACCTCCGTCTCCTCTTCCCCGTATGTTTCAAAGCTGCGTGCCATCGCTGGCTCATTTGATTCTCATGACTGATTTGAGTTCCTATCTTAGACATCGCCCGACCGAGTCTCTCATTCTCCCCAATAAGCGACGATTCTTCCCTTTCCGCATTCCTAACTTGTTCGTATTTCCCCGCTTTCCATGTGCTTGCCACCTACTGACGCGATCGATCGTTAGCCACACGCAACTACGCCACTATATCAGTACCGCCGATCCAGATCGCATCTATGTTGTAGTCGAAAGAGTCGTCTATGCGATCCATATCGCCGCACACAAGAGGGAAAGCATAGCTGTCATTCCGTTCGAGCCGCGATGCTTGGCGGCTGGATATGGGTGGATCGCTGTGGGGGGCCCCGAGAATGGTGAATGCGCCTTTATCCGAACCGATGAGAGAGGGCTACAATTGCATGGCGAGCCGTCCTCCCACCAGGCATCGGATGTGGACAGTGCGCTTCCGCTCGACCTGGAGCCGCCGTCCGGACTGCTATCTCCAGACACCACGACTAGGGGGATCGCATCATCGCGCCGTTCACCTCGGCGGATGATGCCGGAGTTCGAGCTGCACAAATTCGGAGGCAGTATCGTCAACTCGGTGACGATCCATCATTTCCCGGGAGATCGTGAGGGTATCTCAGATGAAGATGTCATGGTCCTCAGGTACTTATCCTCGGTTCTGGTACCTAACCTGTGCCTAAAATTAATCATTTGGATAGCAACAACGACCGCACCGTTACCGTCTACTCCTTGACCCGTGCGAAGGTGTTGAAGATCCTCCATCATCCAACTTGCATGAACTATGCCATCATTTCGCCGGATCATACAATCCTCGCGGCTGTCGGCGACGAGAATCGTGCTTATTTCTACGATGTAACTCGTGACTGGGAATCTGTGGTGACCGTCGAATCAGGTGGAAAGGTCGGGGGTTGGGAGTGGGAGCTGTTGCGCTGCATTGAAATCGATATCGGGTCGCGGTCGGACGATGCCTGCTGCTTTACAATTACATTTTCTCCATCCAGTCATCTATGCGCGATCGGATCTCAGTCTGGGATCGTTACTGTACTAGACATGGACCGCGTTCGTGAGTTGGACAACGAGGAACCCGTGATCAGCCAATTCACGGCGTCCAGACCCTGTACCGAGGGCGGTGCAGTGCGATGCATGACTTTCTCTCCCGAGCCTTGGGATCTTTTGGTCTGGTTGGAAGGCCATGGCAGAGCCGGAGTTGCAGATGTTCGCCAGTCGTTCCTGCGGAGGCAAATTCTGTACTTGAATGCCGATGACCCCCATCTGCAAGAGGTGCGTACCGTGCCTCTGGCAACCAGCTTTGACGATGGCCTCTCAGACGATGAGTTGGAGATCACATCGCGACTGGGATTAGACGCCGAGGATCTTGCGCACATTCGAGAAGGGCAAGGCATGGGACGTCTTCCGTCGCGCGAGAGCCTGCTCCATGACTTGACAGCGCGTGAGCGATTGATCATGCAATTCCTCAACACTGCTCGCTGGAACGCAAGAGAGGAAATGGGTCTGACCGAGCGCCCAGAACCGCCGGCGAGAGCAAGCCATTCGCACCATGCAGCTCATAGCCGACATAACAGCAACACGGAGGAGCTCGGCTATGGATATAGATACATGTCTCCAACAACCCTATCCGAGTCCCCTGATACCACTCTCGACAGTCATACAGGCCGAGCCAGTCTTACCCACCTTTCGCCCCGCAGCGGGCGCCGGAGTTCAGTGGTGCTGTCACAAAGTAGTCGGCCGCCTGAATCGGATTCTTCAAACCATGAACGCCAGTCTAGCGCCACTTCCAGCTGGACCTCGAGCTCGCGTTCGGAGCTTACATCGGATTTGATCAGCCGGTTCAACACTGACCCCGATTACATCCTCCAAGTACAAGAAATGGAAGCCCGTATGGCTCCTCCCCAGCCCCCAGAGCCGATCACTCCCGCCAGCCTCGATCCTCGACGTTCGCGACCCCCACGCTCGAGCTCTATTCCTCGACGTGTAGACCGACCGCAATCCGGACAGCCCGGCTCAGAAAGAAGACCTGATCCTTCGCGACTCTCCAACTATGAGATTAGAGCCAATGTTGCCGCCGAGCGATTGCGACGCCAACGACAGATTGCTAATGAGATGCACAACCGCTCGATTGCCGAACGGGGACACAGAGAGCAACGAGCTCGTCAGCAAATGCTAGGCTTTGAACAGACCCATTCCCCTCGATGGATTCGCAATATTATCAATGATCTTCCGGATCGGAGCTTCATCCATGGTCCTGGAGCCGAAGAGCCAGATGCCACAGCTGGAGTCGGCTGGGGCGCCGATGGAAGAACCTTGTACGTGCAAAGACCACCCATGCTGCTTAAATTTTGAGCTCACCTCCCTTTCCTAGATATATTGCAACCCTGGAAGGAATCTTCGAGTTCCAACTAAACGTCCACGACCGCAAAACCTTCCCCATTTTTTCATACCGTTGAATCCAGCCTCCCACTCGATACACCCTACGCGTTGAAAGTTCTAAGAAGAAATTGCCCAACCTTAAAAAGCTATTCCAGAAAGTCAATTCTCTGACTGGAATAGTCTTATTCCCGATTTCCTTGTGTTTATTTTAACCCTCTGTCTTATCTCGGCGTTTTCTTCTTTTCTTGTTGCATATCCCTCTGGCGCTTGGGGGGCGTACATTGCTACATCGATCGGCCGATATGTTTCATACTTCCCTGCACAGATTCTTCTTCACAGGCTGATTCCGGTACAAAAGCTCGGCGAAGTAGGATACTTTTAATGCAACTTTTATGAAATTGAATCTTGTTTTTAGAAAGGATATTGGTATATGTAGTATTGACAATGGTATGGTTTCAAGTCAGCTTTGGTAACTTGTAGGTTAATTTAGCTATACGAATGATACTTGGGGTTATCATATCCGGACAATAAAAGGTAACATTAGGGAGATGAAGACATAAGTCATGCCATCTTAAGCATAGGGTTATGAGTGTGGACTGAGGAACGAGGAATACCTCGAGTCCGGGGAAGCGGAGGTAGTATGAAGAGAATTCAAGAGTGAGAGATGAAAAATGTTACAGACTGTGGGATCCGTGGAGGCTTTGAAACAGGTACCCAAAGGCCCCTCAATGAAACAACTAAGTTAGGTCAGATATTTGTGCCTAAGGCTGCTCGATCACTAGAAGGGATAGTAGTACGTATGGGCGACTGCGATGTTCAATTGGTGTACATTTCTATATCTATAGCTTGTCTTTCTTTTGATTATCTATCATGTTCCGTTACTGGGTAAATTAACTCTTCTACCTCGCCAGAAGTAGATGCACCAGGTACCCGCTACCTCCCTTCAGTCCAGCCCCAAGCACTTTATCACTGAGTCGCCAGACACGGAATTCTCGTAGGGTCTCCCGTAGCCACGTCTCGAACACCTCCGGCGCTCGCTGCTGCTGCGCAACGATGCAAATCGTGGGCTGGAGACGAGACGGTGACGTCTGCTCCACGGAGGACTCGTACGCTGGCCGCAGACGGCATATCTCGGCAGAGGTGCGCACGAACGGGGCAACCAAAGCTTCGTTGTAGATACAATCGCAAGAAAGAAGGAGGTCGAAGCCTCTGTCTTCTTCCTTGCCTTGATCAAATCCAGTCTGTCCGCCAGACTCGGACTCGATACAGCCCTTCAGCAGCCCTGGCTGATCAAGCTCCCAGTCCAGCGTGGTAAAGGTAATATTGCTTGTTGCGGCCTGGGCGGACTGCTTACTCTTGGACGTCGACCTACTGCTGCTGCCTCTTGTTTTGCTGCCTTTCTGCTTCCCAGATGCGGATGCAGCTGGAGTGACGGAGGCGTTGGCGTCGAGGTTAGTCCTGAACACGCGCCGCACGTATTCTTGGTCGGTGGCGAGATAATGTTGGACTGAGGGAGCCAAGGCCAAGGCAACCAGCGCCGAAATGCCACAGCCCAGTTCAGCCACCACCGAGTCAGACGAGAGAAGGGAATGCGTCCAGAGGGGATTTGTTGGGGAAGAGATCCATTCCGCAAAATGAGGAGTGATTTTCCAGAGGACTAGAGGAGGTCAGATGGTTAGTTGTTGGGACTTGTCAGCTTGGTAAAGACGGTCAGGTGGAGGGGAGGCGAAGATGTGAATAGTAAGATGACAGTGGTGATGTCAAAATCAAGGACCAAGGGCCAAAGAACAAAAGCACAGGGACAAAAGACAAAGGCGATCCTCGGCCGGGTTCACGGGCAAGCCTAGAAATGCGGACTCAAATGACAAAGGGCCCAGAAGCTCCGAAGCCTCGGCCCAGCCACCGTGGTCCCTGGGAACGGAAGATAAGACCAAACTGCGGGGATTTTTGTTGTCGAGTCCGTGCATGAGGAATTTGCGGGTCACGGTAGCACAAGGGTCCAGCACGAGAGTTTGTGTTTTGGGGCAGTGCGTAAGTAGAATGCGCCGAATGGCTGATGAAGGGAATGGATGGACATAGAGGAAGAGCACAAAGACAGAAGGCATTGTATTGTACATACCGGCGCCAGTCGTGCCTCCAGCTCGAGAAGAAGAAAGTATAGTGGGGGATTGATGGATAATGTACTCGTTGCCACGGATCGTCACGTCAAGGGACGAAGCGCGTGAGTCGACGAACCCCAGGTTGGTTGTGGGGATCTCCTGGCTGAACAGCAGAAAGGCCTCTGCAGGGCCACGGGTTCAGCTGGGGATTGATTGGACGGGGGAAA